ACTCTATAAATACGAATGTGGGACAAATACGTTTATTCGTTTCCTGAATCTTGAAAAGGAAAGTGCTAAAAAATATTTTACAAAATATAAACAGATTGTATATCACACAGATTATAGTGAGTCAGTGTTATTTTGTTTTAGAGTGCTGGAGAAAAGTAAGTACATTATTTTTTATTAAATTTTAGTTTTGTACTCGTAGTTAGCAAAGATAGATAAATTACGCCAATCATGACTTTAGTTATTAGTAGTTAAATATTCAATCATGCAAAATTACACGAGTACTCCTCAATAGTTTCTTTTTGAAAGTTTTAGCAATCGGTAATATAATTACAGTGCAATCTCCGAATTATGGAATGTTTTCGGAACAATCAAAAAATATTTTTAATATACAGCTGCTGGATTTTCTGTCTTATTTTAATAATTTAATTTCGCCCACAGATGACTGATGCCATGTCCGAATCTAAAAAGAAATGTAGACAGTACAGTGTTGATTATTTGAAATTTGGCTTCATTCCATCATTGCCGGACAAATATTTTTTTTTTTTTTTTTTTTTTTTTTTTTTTTTTTTTTTTTAACGAGGGGGGAATGCATTTACGCACCATACCATAGCACGAGCTACGACGTGTGTGGGGCTCCAGGGTCTTGAGGAGATCACCTAATACCCACTAAACCCTAAACCTCCGCGTGGCCCGACTCATCAGCGTCTCGGTAGGCCATGTGTTGTGCGTGACCTGCGGTCTGCTACAACGTCTCCTCATGTGTTTCAGTCTCTGGGAACGCCGGGTTGGTTCCCTTTACCTCGCACATTCTATCGATGTCGTTAAGCGATCATCGATAGAGGGTCTGCTAGTTTCTCTTGAAACTCTTGTTTTCGAAAAATCAAGAGTTTCAAGTCCTCTTACCAATATGTTGTTCCTGGTCCTGGTCCTGAAGGGTCCTGGTCCTGGTGGGTCCTGGTCGTGGCGGGTCCTGGTCCTGGTTGGTCCTGGTCCCGGTGGGTCCTGGTCCCGGTGGTTCCTGGTCCTCTGCATCCACGCCGTGGGGTGAGGGGGGGGGAGCAGCCGCAGTTCTCCTAGTCTCCTAGTCAAGGATCCAGTTAGCGGGTGCCAACTGGGACCTTGGTCTGGGGTACCTGGTTCTGCGGTTGCGAGGCCTCTCGTCCGGATCGTAGTCCATGAGGAATCGTAGCTGCTCGTTCGGGTGGTCCTGAGCTTTCTCGAAGGTCTTCTCCGCTTTTTTCCTCATGTACTCGTGGATGGTATCCCAATGCAGGTCTCTACGCAAGGTTGAGTTCCTTACGTAGGAAGGTGTATTGGTGGCGATCCGGAGTAGCTTCATCTCTAGAGCAGCAAGTCGCTTGCGGTAGCTGGGGGCAGCGTACCCCCAGACCGCGGAGGCGTAAGCGAGCTGAGGTCTGGCGATGGCCTTGATCAGCCGTAGCTTGGTCGCTAGCGGCATCTGGCTGTGTCTACCCAGTAATGGATAGAGTTGAGCCATGGCTGCTCTGGTTTTTGCGATGACAGCTTCTATGTGCGCTTTCCAGGTGAGGGACTTGTCAAAAACGATCCCCAGATATTTGACATTGTCGCTCCACTGGATATCTTCATCGAAGATGGATGCTTCGAGAGGTCTTGCAATCCTTCTTCGTTGAATGAAGATTGCCTGCGTCTTCTGGACGTTGATGCGGATTTTCCATTTCACGCACCAGTCCTGAATTTGGTCCAGTTCACCCTGTAGTCTCCTACGGATGATCTCGGGTCGTCTATGCTTGGCGGCTATAGCAGTGTCGTCTGCATATAGGGCCAGAATTGTGTCAGCTGTCTTCGGCACATCGTAAGTATAGATGTTGTAGAGCAGGGGGGCTAAGGCTGACCCCTGGGGCACGCCTGCTTCCAGCTGTCGTCTTGTTGAATGGCATGTACCAATCTTCACCGTGAACCATCTTTGTGTTAGATAGCTCTGGATCAGTTGGCACATGTTCGCATCGATTCCGGCGGCTTCCATTTTGGCGATGAGTCCATCGTGCCAAACTCGGTCGAAGGCTCGTTCCACGTCCAGCAGGACGAGACCGGTTGCCTCCTGGAGATTGAAGCCGCTGGTGATGTTTTCCGTCAGTCGTAGCGCTTGGAGTTCCGTGTTGTGGGAGGATCTGAAGCCGAATTGCTCTGGGGGGAGAAGTTGCAGTTCTTCTGCCTGCTTCTCTAGTCGAACGGCGATAGCCTTTTCGACTACTTTGCCCACCGAGGAAACCAGGCTGATGGGCCGGTAGTTCTGGGGCAACTTCCGGTCCTTGCCTGGCTTGGTGAGCATTATAACCTGGGCTTCCCGCCACCGCCGCGGGAAGTGGTTAAGTCTCAGAGTGGCATTGGCGATGTTGGTGAGCGCAGCAATGCCTTTGGTGGGAAGGTTCTTCAGCATCCTATTGTTGATGCCGTCCCTTCCCGGCGCCTTTCTGACCTTCAACCTGCGGATGATCAGACGGATTTCCTCTGGACTGGAGGGGTGATCCGTCTCCTGGCCAGGTGGTCGACTCCTCATGTTTTCGGCTGCGACTTCCACGGCCTCCTCGTGGTTGTCGTCCTCGTCTTCATGGTAATTGAGTCTGCATTCGGATTCTAGCGAATCGGCGAATGCTTCGGCTTTTTCTTCACTGGAGTAGGCCAAGCCGCGTTGGCCGTGAAGAGTGGGGATCGTGGTGCGCTGACGACGAAATTTTCGCTGCACAGACCAGGCCGTACCATCCTGGGTCTCTAGTTCTGCACAGGCTGCATTCCATCTGTTGTTTTGGAGTTCCGCGAGTGCGTTCTTCAGAGCTAACGATGCTCTGTTTCGCGCAACTCTCGACTCCTCTGTCAACAGCTGGAGATGTTCTCGCTTGAGTCTTCTGTTCTCCCTGATCAGGTGCCTAATATGGTGCGGTGCTGGACCATTTAGGTGTCTAGGAACTGCCGTAGTCTCGGAGCGGGTGCTGTCCTCGTGCGCTCGCAGGACAGCATTCTCCAGCTCCTCTACTGCGTTGTCCAGTTCCTCCGCTGATCGGATGGTTGGAATTTGAGTGATGTTCCTTTGGACGTTGGATTTGTACAGGTTCCAGTTCGTCCGTTTGGTGCTCAAGCTATCTCGAGTTCTAGACCCTGTGCCAAGTGTTAGTAGAATCGGATTGTGGTCCGACGATCCTTCCACCAGGGTCTCTATCTCGAACTCCTCTCTGATGTTGCGGAGGATGGCTATGTCCAGTACCGCAGGTCGCCCAAGGCCGAATGGAATGTAGGTTGGTTGCTCCGGACCGACGATGACCCCCGCCAGGGCATCGACGTGTTCCTGGAGCTGCCTTGCATTCCTGTCTTCGACGTTGTTGTTCCAAGCCGGAGACTTGCAGTTTAGATCTCCGATGACTATGCGTGCTCCTGGGCCTCTCAGGAGGTCAGCGATGTCATCTTCGTCTAGGGCCTCCCCTGGTGGCACATATAGGGAGGTGATTCTGTAGGGACGGTGGTTGTGATGGACCTGGACCGTGATTCCGTCCCCATTTATGTCTGCGGCATCGTCGAGGACATGACTCGTCAAGGTACGTTTGACGAGTAATGCGACTCCTCCACCTCTGCCCCTTCTGTCGTAGCGGTACGTCTCGTACCGCGGGAACGTCAGACTATGGGCAGCATCCAACTTCGTTTCTTGGATGGCCATCACCTCTGGTTGGTACTGGTCTAGTATCTCCTGGATTTCTGGTTTCCGTGCCCTGAATCCATTGATGTTCCAGGAGATAATGCGTAGAGATTCTACGTTTTGACCTGTAGACATTTCGGGTCTAGTGCTTGTCTTGCATCTTGGCCTCGAGTGCATCCAGGCGGGTTATGATGGCTTGCATCATTGCTAGCAGTCTGTCATCGCCGTGTTGCTTCTGCGCAGTAGTTCCAGTAGCAGTGGCGGCTGCTGGGGCAGAAGTGGACATAGGCTTCTTCGCTTTTTGAGCGTAAGAAGTCCTATTTGTGGTGGGGACTGCTTTGGGGGCAGAAGCAGCTTTCTTCGGCGCCTTACTACATCCCTTGTAGTTGGCGGGGTGGCCTTCTCCACAGAGGCAACACTTGGCGTTTCGTTGCCCTGTTGGCGGCGCTGGCAGACTGCAGCTGGTGCTGTTGTGGTCCTCTCCACACTTAACGCACCGGCATCTTCGTCTTGACGAGGAAGAGCGGAAGTGGCTTCTTTGTGGTCCTTGAGGTCATCTGCTGAACCTCGGCGTCTGCGATGCCTTGGCTCACTAGATCCTCTTGAATGTCATTTACTGACATCTCCCTCGGAAGCCCACGAATAACCCTCTGGTCCATCCTGTCCTCCTTCAGTTGATATGTGAAGAAGGGCCGCTTGATGGATTCCAGCAGTGCGACTAGCTGACGGTAGTCAGCTGGTGTATTTGTGAATACCTTCACACTGGTACCCGCCGTCCTCGCTTTGGAGAATTGAATCCCCTTGCTGTTCATCATCCTACTCAAGGATGACCAATCAGCGGTGCCCTCGATATTGATTGGCGGAACTCCTGTTCCTGCCATGGGGGCCTCGGTGGTCCTGGTTGCTCTAGGACCTCTCTTCTTGGTGGCAGCTGGCATCTTTGGCTGCCTGGGTTCTTCTTCTTCTTCGGAGGAGGAAACTCGCACCCGCTTCCTCCGTCTGGTGGCGACACTGAAGTCGGTGTCGTCCGTCCTCTTCTCGGCTTCTACGTCGATATCTTGGGCATCCATGTCCAAGTTCTCCGTAGGCTTCTGGTCCTCCTCTCCCTGGTCCTCTTCCTCCTCTTCTCCTGTCTTCTTCGCGGCCTTCTTCTTGGCCTTGCGGAGCTTCCCGCTCGCCGGACAAACAATCGCCTATGTGCCTTTTATGCAACAAAGTTTTGGGCAATGACGCTATGAAACCATCTAAACTGCAAGATCATCTGAGAAGATGCCACCCTGATAAATCAAAGAAAGATTTGAATTACTTTCAAACACTCAAAGATAAATTTCAGAAGAGACCTACACTGGACAGAATGTTCGCTTCGACGTCACAAAGAAATGATGATGGTTTGCGGGCGTCTTACAATATCTCGTTACTTATAGCAAAATCCGGAAAACCGCATACTATCGGAGAGAAGTTAAGTTTGCTAGCCGTTGGAGAGGTCTTAAAAACTGTTTTACGCAAACCTGCATCTGATATCATTAAAAGAATTCCCTTAAGCAACAATACTGTTGAAAGACGTATTGATGAAATGAGTTCTGATATTGAAAGCTTCTTATAATTATTTGCAAACGACCCATTTCTCTATACAACTGGACGAGTCAACTTTACCTGATAATGCAGCATTATTATTGGCATATGTTCGTTTTATTATGAATCAAGAAATCTACGAAGAACTGCTCTTCGCAAGAACTTTGATAACCGACACTAAAGGTGAATCAATATTTCATGTTTTGAACGATTACTTCATTGAAAAAGCAATTCCTTTATCAAATATAATATCACTAGCTACAGATGGAGCACCTGCCATAGTTGGACGTTATCGTGGATTTATAAGCTATTTAAAACAAAATGTTTCAGGGGTGTTAGCAATACATTGCATCATCCATCGACAACATTTAGTTGCTAAAAATTTGAGTGTTAGATTGCATGAATCACTTCATTTAGTCATTGATGCAGTAAACCGAATCCGAAGCAACGCGTTGAATACGCGGTTATTTGCGCAGTTGTGTGAAGAAAACGACGAACACTTTCATCAATTACTCCTTCACACCGAAGTATGCTGGCTGTCGAAAGGCTTATGTTTGACAAGATTTTTTGCACTTTTTGAGACTATTTTAGAATTTCTGGATACTAAAGATAAAATTTTAAAAGAAAATTTAATGAAGAGGAAAACAGACATCGCCTATTTAACAGTTTTGTTTACAAAATTTAATATGGTTAATTTGCAGTTACAAGGCGACAGTTTAAATTTGATTAAAACAAAGTCCATCTTATCACCGTTTCTTGCCAGAGTTAAACTAATGAAGCAAAATATTGGACGGGGCGAATTTTCTCAGTTCCCCAATTTGTCACAGGCAAGCTGCCAGGAAGACGACGTTTCAACTTACGTTCAACATTTAAATGCCCTCTATTCAGATTTTGAATCTAGGTTTGAGGATATTTTGACTATGGTAATACCACCGTGGATAATTAATCCATATGGTGACATAGAAGAAACGATTGTCATAATACAAGAGGAACTGACTGAACTAAGTACAAACGAAGAACTTAAGGTTCAGTTTAAAAACGGATATCAGCAATTCTGGCTGCAAAACAACATACCCGTTACTTATCCCGTATTATGGATTATAACGAGGAAATTTTTAATTTCCTTTCCATCGTCAAACCTAGTGGAAAGGGGGTTCAGCGCTGTTACCAATCTCCTAACGAAAAAAAGAAACAGACTGGACATCATTTGCCGAGGAGATTTAAGATTAACCCTTACAAAATTGACGCCAAATGTTGATAATTTATTATTAAAGCATCAGGTTCATCATTCTCACTAAAAATATTGACTTATTGCTTATGTTATTTTATTTATAGTTTATTTTATGTTTATTGGTGTCTGACCAATAAATGCCCGCATTGGAAATAAGTGCCCGCATTGATTTTTTTAAAGAACCCCACTTTATAGAAAATATTTTTTTTTAATTATTCTGAAAATTCAAGGATAGGTACACACTAAAATTCGTTAATTTTTTGCCTATTTTTAGATAACTTAAACGTATCAGAAGCGGAATTTAATCAAACTAACAGTGAAATTATTGTAGAATATACGTTTAATTAATAAACGAACTCGCTTATTGTACTATTTTAAGTAAACACTTTTTTTTTATTATTTTTCACTTTCTTATTTTTCTTTCAATGCGGGCACTTAATCCCAATGCGGGCACTTATTGGTCAAACACCTGTTTATTTAATGTTACGTATATTTTACATAACAGATACAAACATTTATTAATTTAAATTCAATTAATAAATGTATAAATTAACATGTGTTTTTACTTTAAGTTTTTAACACTAAACTTCACTACAGTTCGAAATTTACAGGAAATCAATATCAGGTAAGTAGGAGGTCTACCCAACACGGAAATACATGGCAAGGGGTCTACGACACAAAAAAGTTTGGGGAACTCTGATCTATAGTATACAACTTACAGCTTAGACCTCCAATAACGCCATCTCTGAAGCAGATTTTAGATCATGACAGAGTCAAACATTAATAACTGAAGCATCATGACGTTTAGGCTACACGTACAACTACAAAACGAATTCACGTCGTGTCCATCAGCTAGTGTTGAGTTACGTAATACCTGTGCGGATCATTCTGTCAACCGGCGATGTGAATGCACAAGATCTCGGATTCATTGCTTCTTGAAGATGAAGACCTTCCGTTTCCTGGTTCATCTTTAAACGACTCTTTCCCTTCTGAAAATGCCTTGAATCACCGAAAAATCTGGGCCTTTGACAAAACACTATCTTCGTAGGTCTGCTGAAGTTTAGCAAGAATTTCCGTTATGCTGTGTCCAAGTCTGAAGCAAAAGCTGATGGCACACCGTTGCTCGAAATTGGTGTCATCCATTTTAGAACACAATAGGAAAATCTATGGACAACCAAATGACTCGAGCGAATTCAAACTTGTACTGAAGGCGGGCCGCATGTTCCCCTGTTTCCCCTCCAAGCCCGGCGGCTCCGGTGTTGTCAAATCGAACACTACGTTGCCAGTCTCATCACTTAATTAACAGACATCATTATGGTAGTAGCTGGGCACACTAAAAATTTCACCTTACATTGTATATTCTAGCTGTCAAGCTGGCAATGATACATAATGCAGTATTTATATCGATTTTCTTTATCACAAGGTTATACCAGCACAATCAGAGAACATCCTATTTCGACATCCAGGGGTGAAAGAAGTTGCATTGGTGGGAAAGCCAGATGACAGGGTTGGGGTCTCCTACTGCATTTGTACTGAAACAGAAAGACGTTTTTGAGACTGAACAGGAACTCGTTCAAGTGCGACTGAAGTACACGTACAATTTTGTTAAAATGTCGATGGTATACAGTTTTTCGTTGACCGTGGCAGTACCATCTCATATAAAACGTCCTTTTGTATAACTGGATACAACTTATAAAATAAAAATTCGTCGTTTAGTTAAAGCTATGTAGGTGTAAAAAATGACAAATAAAATTTATGTTGGTCAAGTTACAGAAAGTTATATGACAAACTATTTTCCTAGAACTCGATGTTTCACTGACAAAATAGAACCACATGTTGAGATTACTCTTTATCAGCGGCAGTTTTACAGGGTGTCTCAGAAGTCGACATGAAGCCGGTACCGGGTTATAGTTATCAGAAAAATATGAAAAAAATCTGAGTCATCTACATTTCAAAATTATAGGCTTTAAAAAAATCGGAATAATCTACACCCTGTGATGACCTTTTACACTACACATTTCGATTTCTTCTTAGATGGAGTGGCTGACAGTGTCATTCTACGTTGTGACTGCAAGACAGATAGTAACGGTTTTATTAATTTATTATTGTGTAGTGCTACCAGGGCTGGGAACACCGTACATAAATACGCCAACAGGCACCTCATTTATCGGATGCAGATGCAATACTAGTGCTGCAGATAGGCTTTATCGTGAGAGGTACCTACCCAAATGCGGCTCGACATGCCGATCATCGAGTTTTTGAGAATGTCCACTGTTAACTCTCAGACTGACGATTCCCAAATCAAGCACATGGTGAAGGAACAATTTCCTTTCCTTAAAAGGACGTCGTTCTACAAGAAGTCGAAGAAGAACCTAGTATTTCAGTACGTCAAATAGAAGCAAGCATGGGTGTATGCAAAAGTACAGCCCACCAAATCTAGCGAAAGAATGAGCTCCACCTGAACCACGTACAGCGAGTACAATCTCTACAACCCCGGGATTAGCTTCCAAGAGTTTTATCAAACAATGTTACAGAGACACCGGGAAGATCCACGATTTTCAGAGAAAATTTTGTGGACCTATCATTCGACATTTAACAAAGATGGTTACATGAATCTATACAACTTACACGAGTGGCATGTAGCAAATCCACATTGGATGAGATAAGATAGATCATAGTATCGTTTTAAAGTAAACATGTGGACCGGGATACTAAATAAGCACATCATTCTACCCTCTGTGCTGCCATAGTTCTAGAACGGTGACATTTATTTAGGATTTTTCCAAAATCATTTACCAAATTTATTAGAAGACCTGCAACTAAATATTTACAGAGATATGTGGTACCAGCAAGTTGTCTGTCCGGCGCACTATGCCCGTTCAGTTAGAGAATATTTTGATGCGGAATAACCCGAGCCGCTATAAACGACGGTCTGGTACAATTTCGTGGCCAGCCCGTACACCTAACTTAAATCCACTCGATTTAATTAAATGAAAACCTGTGAAACAAAAAGTTTATTCAAATCCAATTGAAAACTTAACTAAGCTATGGAACAGGATAATGGAAGCAGCTAAATTTATTAATAACGGAAGATTCGCCCGTCTGATAACCAAATCATTTTTAAGATGTCAAGCTTGCATTACTGTTGAAGGAAGGTAACTTGAACACTTATTGTGAATATAATAAATACATTCACAGATTAAGGAAAGTGGCGTTACTACCTGTCTTGCTGTCACTACGTAGAATAACACTGTCCGTCAGTTCGTCCATGAAAAAATTGAAATTTGCAGTAATGGGAATTAAAAGATCATCACAGGGTTCAGATTTTCCTATTTTTTTGAGCCTCTAATTTGAAAAGTACATGACTTGGATTTTTTTATATTCTTCTGATAACTATTATGACTTGGTCTATCCCCCGTTTCCGGCTTGAAGTCGACTTCTGCGATACCCTGTATAAACATTAAAACCACAGGATAAGTTTCAGGTGTTACATTATGAATTGATTTATTTTTCCAGCTTGTAGCACAACGTTTGCATACTGAAAAACATATTCATGGAGGTGTGGTATATTTGAACGCAATACCAAAGACCCAATCAGGAAAACATCTAAAACTGAGTCGAGGAAGTGGTTTCGGCTGAAGTAATTTTTGTACAGGTTCAGAAACTAGTTAGGTTTTTTGTTTTGTCACTCATTTTAGCATTCAACAGACATATGTAGTAAATTAATAGGGCTTGCAAATAAAAAATATAATTCTGTACAAAAAGTAAATTTCATTTTGGCTGAAGTAATTTTTGTACAGGTTCAGAAACTAGTTAGGTTTTTTGTTTTGTCACTCATTTTAGCATTCAACAGACATATGTAGTAAATTAATAGGGCTTGCAAATAAAAAATATAATTCTGTACAAAAAGTAAATTTATTCAGAGTTTAGAATCAGAAGAAAGTTTTAGGTGCTAAATACCAAAATTGCGATAATCCATAGATATTAATTACGCCTTGAATTGGTTCGTGAAATTTGACAAGTTTTATTGCTGAAGCAGCCATAATGACAGAAACCTAGCACCGAGGAATCTGACTGCTGCTAAGCAGATGTGAGAGATATTTTATTGATCCGATATTTGACTTTATACAGTTAGTATAACTGGGGAAGGAGCCTCAGGCAGACTCTTCCACAATCTCGATATGACAAATGATCATTTTTCGCTATGCGGAGTTCGACATGTCCGAATGTTCAGCGGAGTCTAACGTGTTCTTCTCTCAGGCCCTGCGTGTGGCGGCATTATGGAAAGAGCCTGGAGAAGCAGAGTCTGTAAGCATGCTGGAAAAAGAGAGACAAACCACCTTCTGTCCGACGGTGTGAGAGGGGCTTGCGACCAGGGGCGTGGCAACCGCTGTAGCTATGATGCTTGAGGAGACCCCGACCTCTGACTGGTGAAAGAAAATGCGGAAAGTGTTATCCACAATTTCACGCCAAACTATAAATTCTTTAGCGCTAAGTCCTTAGATCACAAGGCTAGTTGATGATAGCATGTTTCCTATTTTTTACCCTCCAGATGACAACTGCAACAGCTGGAAGAAATTTTCTAAACTGAAGGTGATTGAATTATCTCAAGACTTCTATGAGACAACTGTGACTACCAACTTGATACTGCACTTTTGTACTGTACCGAGGCAGAAACTGTCGAAAAACTTCAGCTATGGATGATTTAACAAAAAAGTGTTTCGAAAAAATACTGACAATTAGACTGACTCTCATACTTCCATATGTAATTTAAACTCCTTGACACACAAATGTTATTTGAGTAGGTCTGTGAAGTTACCAAAAAAATACTGGGCTACTTGAGTACCATTATTTTTATATAGGGGTGATTCAAAAAAAACGTGGCATAAAGGAGATCAAAAAATAACTTGAAAAGTTCGTATAAACATGGGGCCTGAAATACCCCCTTACCGAGATACAGGGTACTGAAGTTGATTTCGCAAATCCAAGAAAAAACTATATCATCGTAGCGTATTAAGATATTGACCTAAATTTTTATAGGTGTATGTGTAATACTGACATCTTAACCAATACATACATGAAAATTGTGCCTCGAACTGCACCATGAATAGAACAATTCTGACCCTCTCGGAAGAAGAAAGAAAATTATTTTCTACGCAACTGATTTTTTCAATATCTATCTTATTTTTGAATAATGTATTCAATTTTACATTGAAACATGTTTGCCAGTCTACTGCTGTTGAAGAAAAATTGGTTTGAATATTTGAGGTGATAATGTTAACACACAGATAGACCAATGGAAACAAGTGGTAACTGAGGATTATGGACATTATTTGGAATTCTAAATTTTCGCGGTCACAGTACCTCCTTGCCTTATGCTTGGGGTAATAAATAAAATAAAAATATACATTTTTAAAAATGAGCTTTTATCTAGCTGTTAATAAGATGAATTAAAAATTTGAAGATATTTTTTTCCGATTGGAAATATTTAAACGATAAGAAAGTTCCTTCATCTCAAGTTTTCATCCTGCTTCAAAAGTAACACACTTTAATTTGAAAACTTTATATGAAGGACGTTCATTATCGTTTAAATATTTTTAATCGTAAAAAAATATTTGTTAAATAAAAGATTGTTTTTAAAATGTATCTTTTTGTTTTATTTCTTTTTTACTTTTTAGTAATTTTGATATCAATTAACTAGTTTGGTAATTTCTATATAATTTTGACATATCTCATTAATGACTCCATAAAACTTCCTTACTTTATTTGTATTTAAATATTCGGAAGATATAAATGATTTAAAGATAAATCGATATTTTGCGGCGATCGTCATATGGAATTTAGAATGACGTTATTTGCTTAGCCTGTTTCCCTCATTAAGACCCTTCATTTGATACCCATATCATGACGGTCGGTAACCATGGATATAATAAATCTCCATATAGTGGCGGCCGGCATATTGGATTCAAGATGCCATTACTTTGCTTATTATGTTTCTCTCATCAAGCCCTTTCATTTGATAGGTCATGTTGAATAATATGAATACAAATACTTGTAATAAAGGAGCGTTTGTGTAAAAATAAATACTAATAGGTCAATACTTAAGTACATATTCATATTGTATCACTTATACGATGGAGAAAAGTCCTCCAATAAATAAGATTTCACTGGAGTGCCTTTGGGCTACTCAGAACTCACTTCGGTAGGGGTGAGTGAGGAGGCTCAACTCTGTTATCTTTTTAACAGAGACCAAACCACTCATTAGTTTATAATAACTCTTATTGTAAGATTAATATCAAATTACGCTATAATTTTTGATGAATATATTCTTTAAGAAAAAAAAAAAGGAATCGAAATGTTGGGCGCCAGCTTTTAATGAAAGACTGATTAGTATTTAGTGTCTTTCAAGAGCACTGATAGGCGGAGGGTAAATTAGAATTATAAGTCCAATATAATTCAATAATCAGAAGGCAAATAAAAATTAAAATGACTTAGCATAAGCTTGGACTACAATAACTATTTTTGTATATTTACAAAACAGTCTGATTAGATAGTAAAGAGATACAAGTTCATGAACCGAAAGTACAACATAGCACAACATATAGGTCTCAACAATGGATAAAATGAGATGGTACTGGTCAAGCTATACGATAATCACAGATATCGAAAGTAAGAATCGGAAGTTCAACCGATAGATATGAGGTTTCACTAGTTGAATCTCAAAATTTCAATTACTGCTAAGTTAAAGATGAAATCTTAAACGTTAAAGGTTAAGATACAGGCAAAATACAGATAGGCTAAGATTATATATGCAAAACCGCACTTGAAAAGCTTTTCAATGGTTAACCACTCACAATCATAATGCAGGCAAGAAAAAATAAATTTTGAAGCGGGGTTCCATTTGACTCAAATATTTTTAATTCAAGGTAAAGTAGCTCTTTTAAAATCTGAGATAAGATGTGTATGGTAATATAGCTTTCGCACGTCGAGCGCGTTCGTCACGCTTCGAGTAGCATCGACTGCCATCTACCAAGCTTCTGGACTCGTCAACTCGAAGATAAATACACATACAGAGGGCAGAAGCGGGGAGAGTCGACAAATGAGTCTTCGGCGTGGAATACCATACTTCAATCGACATAGTTATAAATTTGTAACAAATTAGTGTGGTAGTAATTTCTTTAAGATACTACATATATAAGGCACTACTGGGTAAAGATAATTGATTCAAGATACAGGCACTTTGAAAGAAGTCCGAAGGCCCGTGTGGTCCTACTATTCTTTCCGGGAGAACGTGCTTAAAAAAGGAGAGGAGATTTATACGGCGCTGCTATCTCACTTACATCGTGGAAAGGGGCAAAAAGGCGAAGATCAGAATGCCTCAGGAATTCCTGGCTGCCTACATTTGGAATTCGAAAACCCGGATAATACCAGCGTTCAAATATAGCCAGTCAAACGGAGTTCAGCTGAAGGAAAAAGAAAAACAATATAGATTTTTAGAATTTAACAATTACCAATTTTGTACTTAGAAGCAAGGAGGAACAGAAGACCTGTAACGAAATTATAAAAAAATTCGTTACGATATTATTCAGTACAAGCGTTTTTGTGCCTTATGCGATAAATCTCAAATTTGAGTCCATATTCGACACAATTGGGTGGAAAACCCGATAAATTTTTATATGGGACAAGGAGCAAGCTACGCTACTGCCCGAGACCGTCTGTAAGGAAAGTATCAACGATCGGTAGGGCAGTCTTTCTTTGAACTTTAAACTTACTTAAGAAGGCCATATGAATGAATACTCAGCATCGACTGAGTTTTCTTGTTGATCGCTGGTGACGCGAATCAATTTTCCTTGAAGAACGCACAATAATTTTTGCGCTCTACTGTACACGCATAAATGTACTTTTTGTACACAAAACAAACGAATACACATCAATGTTTAAAAACAATTTTCTTATTTATATTTACTAATGAACTGATTGATTATATGTAAATATCGCATAGCTAGACCTTTGAATTCCTATTACTGGATACTGCAAGACACAATAATTTTATCACAGTTACATATGAATCATGCTGTCCGCATCTGATTATGTTATTCGGGGACCTAAGATTGAGGACAAGTTTGTCAATAAGTGCTTAGGTGAAGTATTTTTTGAGGTTTTGAAGACGGGCAATCCGGATGATGTTTTACTGGTAAGGGTGCACTTCGAAAGAGTGGAGTAGTATAGTTATATTGGCCAAAATTATTAACGAGAAGCAAAGAAAACATCCCCAATATCCGTTATTATATTCCTTATTAAATTTTCAATTATTTAGGGGATATAAAGTCAACATAACTATCCAGAAATGTTGATTTTTTCACAATCTTCAATAATGTTTTGTGCTAGAAATAGATATTTGAAATACTTTATACCTTATGTCGTACTCCAAAATAGGTGACAATTTGGTACTTTGTTGGTTGGTAGGTTGGTTTGGGAAATACTAAATCAACAAAATATAAACTTCTTTTCGATCTTCAAAATAGACAGCAATTCAAAATTTTTGGTAAATTTTATGTTTCTATATTACTACAGATTTAGATTACTACAGATTCATTTCAGGTAGACGCATCTTATGGACTTGACAAGAGTAGAGCAGAGTTGTTATCAGCTACGATTAAACTGGCTCATTATTTGAAAGAAAAATGTGTAAAAACAGATGATGTAGTAGGAATAATAAGTACAAATTCGTGGAAGTTCCTTGCATCGGTGATTTCTGTTGCATATTTGGGTTGTACCGTCACTGTTTCTAATCCAAACTATTTGCATGGTGAGTAAATGTAGTGGATATAAATATTATGGAAAACACGCAGTAAAAAAATCGCAAACAAAGAAAACAAAATCTGACTCTGCTACTCATTTTTGTTGTCATACTTCCACTGAGAGAAGGTTGGGATCCTCAGGATCCGATACGTCCGACCGTCCCTGGCAAAAAATCTTAACAGTCAAGACCTTCTTAGTTTTATGATCTCGGGGAATTTCATCTTCGTCCTCTCCTTCTAGTTGTGCCTGGTTTCTGTGGTGAGCTCTTTGCGAGTTAAACGCACACTAAAGTTAGAATTCATCAATGTTTTCGAACATTTGAAGTCGGCACAGCATGTTACAACAAACGAGCGCGCCCAGCAAACGTATAGTCCAGGGGCTTGATTCTAAATGAGTTTCAACCGTTGAAATTAATTTCGACGGCGACTTGTGACGATATATTTTATTCGCTATGATAATTTTGACATATGATTATATCGATCTTCTACATTCAAATTATCGTAGCAGTGCCAAAATCATCATAGCGAATCAAGTTTATCGTCCCGAGGTGCCATCGAAATCAATTTCTACGGTCGAAGCTCATTTGGAATCAGACCCCTGGTGGCTATCCGACTCGGATCTGCATATCTGCATATTATCAGGCTCAGCATTGCGTCAAGAATTGTTAAACAGCTTTTTAATCAAACCCCAAAAATACATGTTTTCGCTCCAGTCAATGTATATTTAATTTTTTTGGGACATTCTGAACTTTATAACTTTTTCTAATGTTGATAGTTTTTAGATATAACGATTAATATTTAAAAAACTGCGAAATATGCCATTTTCCACCCCGAAAAACAATATGAAATACAACATTTTAATGTTGCCTGTTGACATCACCAAACCTAAGTTATTCCAGAAAAATAGAACTACTTAGTCCTTGAAAAAATCGGGTATGTGAAACAAATGAATGTCTATCTGATAATTTCAAGGCCAATAGGAAATTCAGCCTTTTTGGAAATAACTAAGGTATGTCAGTGTATAACATATGATACACTTTTGGAATCAGAATTAAACACTCTATTCATTTGAGTAAAGATCCAATATGGTGGTTATAATAAAAAATGCTGGAGGGCAAGAGACTGAACGACATATTGAAATTCTAATTATGCCCCCTTGTAGAAGAGAAAAACTGGAAATGTTAATGTACAACTTATTTTAAAATCCCACTACAAATAAACTCGGGAAAAATTATAACGAGTTTGGGAAAATTCGTTTCTTTCTGCCTGTTCCCGGAAGTACTTTGAATTTCGAAACTTCATAAGCGGCATTTTGTTAATTGCCTAAATACGCTACTTACCCCCATTTAAGCGACTTCGTATTCTTAGAATTACTGAGATCTCAATGGTGAGAGTCGAATTAGAAACACACAGCATTACCAACTTTCTGATTGTTGCCGCAGGTTATGTGATTTTCTTTTCCATGGTTGAGAAATTCTGAGAATACGAAATTTTAGAAATAATTATTATGCAATTTTTTTCCGTGGTTGAGAAATTCTGCGAAAATGTAATTTTATGAATAATTACAAGGGGGATTGAAAGATGACAATTTATAATTTAGGGAAACTGAAGTAGGTTATTATTTCTAAGAGCAGGAACAACTAAATACGAGATACAGTTGGCCGTCTTCTTCGTGAATAGGTGAGGCTAGGTTCTTTTGGGTTAGTTCTCAACCATTAGATTGTTTCGCAGATGATTTCAAGGCACAGGGTATATAAGTTCTTATTTAAGCGTGTTTCAAGCAAGCGGATACTAAAGTTTGCCCAAAACTTAAAACAGACAAGCGGTTCATTTCGGGGTATACACCGTAAGGAACCTAAACTAAATTTTGTCTTCCGCAAAAAACCATGGTGGTTACATTGTTTTTAAAATTTTTCAATCGATTCACTGGAAGTTTTCCACTTTTATCAACCTTCAGTTTTACAGTGTTTTTAAACAAAACAAACATCCTAATTATTTATCATTTGAAATTGATTGATTTATTTAATGTTGGTGCTAATCTCTCACTTATTTACTTTTCAGACGACCTCAATCACTTTCTCCGCACTACTGACCCGAAAGTTCTTTTTGTTACTTCACAAGTCTATAAAATAGTAGAGGAACTATTGCACAATCATAGGACAGTGGAACTAATTATAATATACGATTCTGATACGGGAAGTGATACGATATGGTTTGAGGACATTTTAAGACAACATGTGGAGATATCCACGTTTATGCCCACGAGGGTGGATCCTGAAACTACATTGTCCCACATTCTTTTCTCCTCTGGAACAACAGGGTTGCCGAAAGGTGTTATGCATACACAAAATGGATTCAAGCATTGTTTGAATGTTCTTAGGTAAATTCGTTGAAATTACATTCAGCTATACGTATAGATTTCAATAAGGGGATTCTCCTCACAGCGACCCATATCGATGTATTGTGGCTCCCCATTTACACTGCGTTTACGCCTTTAAGTTCGAAAAATAACAGTAACGCAGCCAATCGCCGTGCTACCAGTCCTCAGCACTCAGTACTAAGCACTCAGCATGCTATTGGCACATGTCTACAACTATACTGTACAGATTTTTTTTTTTTTTTTTTATTACTGGCCTTAGGAGTTCTAGCCTATTCGGCCACGAGAGTGATATAAACATGCTCAAATTTATAATAAAACATATAGATCCGCTGCTAGCAATATTGTCTAGATCCACATACATACAGGTAACAGGGCCCTACTCAAAACCAGGAAATTATAATAGAAGAACCAAGATTAGGGAGGAACGATACTGTACAGATAATTGCTAAAACGTTTGAAACTATGCGCTTCTTAGAATCAGATTCTATGATACAGAGATGTCGGGTAGCTGTGGGTTCCTGCTACCATAGTTTTTGGTACTTCAGCGTTTGGTGAACTACAACTAAGTGTTACACCCCTGTACTTTTCGCACTCCAAAAGTATACCCATCGCGTGTTTGCTTTCCGTCATCTCTCTCCAAATGACTAGATCTATACCGTACTGATGATTGCTAAAAGAAGCGAAACAACATTGTATGCAGTTGATTATGGTCACAGAGACAGAAAGCAAACATATCCTATTTATCGCTGTCTTCAGGCTTTAACCCGAGCCCTAACCTAAGACAAGAAATGACTTGTTGCTCGGTTTGTTGAATTTTGTCACGGGGACCATTTATTCAGGCGTATCATTTAACTCACCGGTTGAACCAGTTAGCCAATTTTACTTCCTCTAATTCCCGCTGGAACGACATGTTGTACAATAAGCTTGTCTTTATATTGATGGTGGTATCCACCGGTACAACCGGTCGTTCCAGCGGGAATTAGAGGACGCAAAATTGGCTACCTGGTTGCATCGGTGGTTCAACCGTTTAAAGAATACGCCTTTTTCTCATGTCTCAATGATGGCTCAAATGCAAAGCTCAATATGCAGCGTTTTTACTGTGCGGGACACAATATACGCACTCATGAAAAAATAGAGTTTTGGAACACACGTTTGAAATCAAAAACATCATTAAATGTCCTCACAATTGGACGCCAAAGTAATATCTGGAATTTTTTATTTTTCTTACTCAGCTGACTGATCAAATGAAGAAATAATTTCCAGATTCTGTTTTTTTCTCTCCATCTTCGTTTCCTCAGGTTACGCCCGTATCCGGATGTATGGGCATGTGTATCTACAATTGTGGTTGCATAATGTGCATTCATTTGGGCCTGATGAAGCCAACAAGCAGAAATACGTATCGCTCGGGTTACCTATCCTATTTTCTGCTCGAATCCACTTTCCTTCATTTTGCGGATTTTGCTATTTTTTGTTATATAACTTTCTCCGCATGATAATTTTCTCTGTAGATCTATTTCGCTTGAAGTACCACAGCAAGTGGCTACAACCGGCCGAGTGGTTGTGGTTAGATCTCGCCTTGAAAGTTCGAGGTCTTCCAGCCATTTTATACTACAATGTGTAGGTTGGCTCTTGTAATGGGCTTCGTATGTAATTTTTTTCCCTCTCCATCTTCGTTTTCTCTCGTATCTGGATGTATGGGCATGTGTAGTTGCATATATGCATTCACTTCGGGCCTGATGAAGCCATCCAGCAGAAATACGTATCGCTCGGGTTACCTATCCTATTTTCTGCTCGAATCCACTTTCCTTCTTTTTGCGGATTTTGCCCATTATTTTCCTATTTTTTGTTGTATATATATATATATATATATATATATAGCTAAGTGAAAGACTTATCTTTGTGGATATCGACAAATTATGACTTACAAATACTAAAGCTTCCGGCAGGCTATACTGCCATCGTCAGGAGCTAAAAATAAAATTGAAAATAGTAAATAGCAAGCCATGCTCAATTGATTAGAATTTCTTAACTTACTCCGTCAATGTGATTGGTGCTAGTGTTTGATGTTTTAAATTGTAATTGGGAGCACATGGCAAGGTGATCAAAAACTGGATGTACACGGATTTTTTTTTGAAAACGGTGGAAAACATAATTACTAAGTCAGGCACTGGTCCAGCGCGGAATTTGTATCTAACGTTTGGCATCTGAGTAGAATCATGCCATATTCTCCGCGAAATTATGCAGAAATGCATTACTATTATGGTGCTGCCCTAGGAAATACTCGAGCAGCTGCTCGCATGTATCGGGAGTATATGGTTAGAAGAGGTGAACTACAACCGGCTGTATATCCCGACTACCGCGTTTTTCTACGCGTCCATAATGCGTATATGGAGGGCCGCATACTGGGCACTCATCGTCAGCTAGGAGCGCCGAGGTTACGCCCAGAAAAACATAGGAATAGAAGATATGATAGGAGCAGCCGAGAGAGATCCCTCTAAAAGCACCAGAGCCATAGTCCGAAGCAGAAATATATCCCACACTTCAGTGCACACAATACTACGCTCGGAGAACATGCAAACTTACCATGTAGAAAAAGTACCAGAATTGCTTACAAGCGACTATGCACAAAGGGGTTGAATTTTGTGAGAATACAGGGTTTGTCCGGAAAGTAATAGGACTCATTTTCTTCCGCCATGACTGTACTTCGGAGCGTGGGCGCACCAACTGGATTCGGTAGAGCGCGTTCCTAGCTAACGAATGAGCGGCTGGTTGTCTCCGAGCACTTGGAGAGTCAGGACGGGCATTTTCGCGCGACGTGTTTCTGTGAGTGGTGCAAGCCGAAAATGCAGCGATCGTTAGAGCAGAGGTACGCGATTAAATTCTGTGTGAAACTTGGTAAATCTGCGACAGAGACGTTTGATATGATCAAGCAGGCTTACCCAGGTATAGCTTTAGCAAGAAGTGATGTATTTCGGTGGCACCAGGCCTTTTTGGAGGACCGGGAAGAGGTCGCTGATGAAGACCGTGCTGGAAGACCTTCGACTTCGACACCGATAATTTGACTCGTGTGCGCAAAGTTTTGAACTCAGACCATCGACTAAGTATTCGTTTAATTACCCAGATGTTCAATTTACCAAAATCTGTGGTTCATGACATTGTGACACATCATTCGAACATGCGCAAGGTGTGTGCGAAGATGGTCCTAAAAGTGCTCACTGACGACCAGAAATTGCGGAGGGTGGAAGTGTGCCAAGAAAATTTGATCATGTGTGAAAGTGACCCCCAATTTTTGAATAACGTAATTACAGGTGACGAGTCGTGGATCTTTGAGTATGATCCCGAGACAAAGAGGCAATCTTCCGAGTGGCACACGACGGCGTCTCCTCGCCCAAAAAAGAGAAGAATGAGCAAATCCAAAGTGAAAACGATGCTCATTGTCTTTTTTGACATCAAAGGCATCGTCCACCATGAATTTGTTCCTCCTGGACAAACCGTCAACGCCAAGTTTTACGCGGAAGTGCTCAGGAGACGTAAACGAAGGGTCAATCGGGTCCGAGAAGACATCGAAGTTGCACCACGACAACACCCCGGCTCACATCGCCTTTCTTGTGAACAGCTACCTGCAGCCGCCCTACAGCCCAGATGTGGCCGCCCCGGACATTTCTTTGTTTCCTCGCCTGAAAAGGCCGATGAAAGGCAAGCATTTTGAGATGACAGAGGGGATCCAAGCAGCATGCACCGTGGCTCTCAAGGCTATTCCGGAGAATGCCTTCCGTGACGCCTTCAATGCTTGGAAATCGCGCTGGCAGCGCTGCATCGACGCAGAAGGAGCCTATTTTGAAAGTTTTTAAAGAATTGTAAGGATTGGCTCAATAAATTTTTTTAAATCGACTCAGTCCTATTACTTTACAGACAAACCCTGTATGTTGCGAAGGTGCGAAGAGGATACATCTTTTTTCGACAGATGAATCCAACTTTAACCGAAATGGAATATTCAACATGCACAATTTCCATTCATTGAACGTGGAAAATAAATCCACACGCTATTCGCCGGCACAGCTTTCAACGTCAGTTCGGCGTTAATTTATGGGCTGGAGTACTCAACAAAAAATTAATTGAACCATATGCATTGCCCGCCAGGTTGAATGGTCAGTCATATCTTGCTTTTTTACAAAGCAGTTTGCATGAGCTGCTAGATGATGTATCTTTGGACGTTCGAAGTTGTATGTATTTTCAATGCATTGGACCACATGCCACTTTGCTCGAGATGTACGACATTACTTAGACAGTGCCTTTCCTGGGCATTGGATAGGTAGAGGTGGACACGTACGATGGCCTTGGAGGTCACCCGATTTAAATATTCTAGACTTCTTTTTACGGCGGTTTTATAAGGGGATAATCTATACATCTGAATATACAAATGTCAACCAACTGCGCCAGAAAATTGATGAAACAAAAATAAAAAGGGAAGACGCAAATTCATTTCAAAGACTAAAGGACAATTTTATTAGAAGGTGCCGCTTGTATCAGTTTGTATTACTGCAGGCAACCTGGGCTCCGACACACCAAGCTGCTGTTCCATTAACAACTAACCACTCCTCACACCGTGAGGTAAGCAAATAGTTGCTCCGCAAATCGAGTGCCCTAAGTAGATCGCAGGAACCGAAGATGATCGCTTTCTGCATTCTTCCGGCTAAGATGCTTGCCGCTGCTCGGCATACCGGTATGGATTTAATTGCAGGAAGGATCCAATGGCCATGACTAGCGAGTGACAGTGTGGCCTGGCCAGATGCTGATTGAGGAGCTCCTTATATTTGGTCCGTTTTTCCTCCTCCTTCGAGACGATGTTCACTTCAGCCGGAGCCGAAAATTCAATACCGAACTTCCGTTCGTGGTCGAGAAGTACTATATATATTCGCCTGCTCCAGCTCTACTGTGAAAAATGAGTAATTCCAGTAAATCAGGCATTTAACATTCTCCACAACGGACTCAATATCCCCTGGAGCATGAGGCAGCACAGTTGTTTCATCTATACCATCGGAGCGCCTCAAATAGTAATATAGCACTCGTTAGCAGTGCCAGCGTATACTTTGCACGCTGACAAGAGATGCATAAGCGTCTCTGGCGCCTGTCGGGATGCTCTACAGTTTGGCATCGGGTACATCCGCACTAATAACCCTACTACCAATATCAATGTATTAAATACACCATCTTGATAAGCTATAATGAATTCCTTGGTCTCAGACTTTAACCCTCTAGGTCTTAGGAATGAGAAGGTGCATTGCTTAGACAGGCCATGCTGCTCTATGTGTCTGTAGAAGATTCTATGCATAGGGTTGTCTCTATAAAGCCTTAATAAGTAATTTGCTTCAGCAGTTTTTATGCTGCTCTTCAGTTGAGCAGGAGCCAACTCTGTAATGGACTGCTGGCACTCCCGGTGATTTTTCAGCCTGTGGAGGTACGCTACCTAATCCCGCAAGTTCTGAGATGTAAGCGCGCTATGTTCAGGATGCTTTTCGCACCATCTATCATGCATGCGAGACATGTAGCCCCTACGACGCGGGTCACTGCCCTCATAGCAGTGCAGCAGGTCATCCTTCAGTTCCGTCGTAAACCTAAAGCAGTCCAAGTTCGTGCGGTCGTCGATGTCTAACCGTCACCTTACCCTAAATCCCCTTCCCAATAGGAACGGGCTTAGAGGTTTCTCCTCCTTGTATTGGGAACAATGGAGAGAAGGCCTAGGGTGGAAGTAGGCCCAAGTCCCCGACCGACATTCAGATGGGAAGAAGTGAAATTCCCTCCCTGGGTACACCCATATAGGCTGCCGGCCGCTAGAAGCCCCTGGCATTGGACTTAGCCCTACGGTTACTCTTTCAGTCGCCTGGTACGACAGACAGAGTTTACCGTGCAGAGATTCTTTCACCGAAACCCCACACGGTTGCTTATATATTATGATTACTATGATTATTATTATTATTATTAGTGTTGTTTGTTTCTTCTCGTCTCTGGACGGTTTTCAGGAGTAAACACGGAGCTCGACAGGAGCTCTGAGATATTTACCCTAGCACTTTCCTTAGGATATGTGCGGTACCCAACAATGCAATCTTTTGGATTTCAGTTTCCTTGGGCCGGCCTGGTAACATTTGAAGATAGTTGTTTAGACCTATTTTAATTGTTCCCAGGGCGCCCACTACTATGGGTATAGTTTTAGCTCTAACATGCCACATTCTACTGATCTCTATCTCTAGGTCTTTATATTTTGAGATCTTCTCAGATTCTTTCAGCAGCACGTTTGAGTCATCAGGTACTGCGATATCTAGCAGAAGGCAGGTCTTTTGTTGTTTGTTGTGAATCACAATATCAGGCCGATTTGCTCGGATTGTTCGATCGGTGATAATAGGCACGTCCCACATGACAGTGGTGTTGTCGTTAAGACTTAGTACTTTTTCTGGAACGTGCTCGTAGTACTTGCTAGCCACGGGCAACCCTAAATCTTTACATATGATCCAGTGGACATAGCTAGCGACGTTGTTATGCCTGTGCGTGTACTCGCTGGGCGCCAGCACCTTACAACCTGCTATTACGTGACTGATATGTTCTTCTGCCTGACCACATACTCTGCACAGCTGTCTGTTGTCTGCTTCAAGATGTTTGTTGTATAATATCGTGTTTTTAGTACCTGGTCTTGTGCTGCAACTAAAAGACTCTCAGTCTCGCCCTTTAGTCCAGAGCTCTGTAACCACGCCATTGTCGCCTGTTTGAGTATGGATGGCTTATCGAGGTTTCTGAAAAATTGACCGTGCAGAGGCTTATTTCTCAAGACTTGCTTTTTTTCGATTTCAGCGTTACGGCGCATCATGTCTTTTATGTTTTGACCGAACCCAACAGAGTTGAGACACTTAGCTTTGATTTTTATAGCTTCCCTGTGAAGCGAGTATTTCAGTTTTTTCTCATCATGATGCCTAACAGCTTTCAGAAGCTTATCGTTACTGGATCTTATATATTCGCTTAACTGAACTATCTCCGAGTTGAAAGCAGACTCAAGCTCTATCATTTATTATTATTATTATTATTATTATTATTATTATTATTATTATTATTATTATTATTGAAATATAGTACTCCTCCGAATTTTAGATTGCTCATTTGAACCGTTCAGGAAATAAGTAGGTGAAGGACCTTCTTGAAAAGGACTGCACAACATTTCAGAATAAAAACTTTTAAAGAAAATAATAGTTTGTTGTCTTGAAAACTCATGTTTTGCTGTGATCTCGTATTACGCCCTTAACGTCGACGACCAAAATCAATAAAACGAGGGACCGCATTGTCAAAACAACGACGCGAATGACTCGCTAACGCGTTTGTGTTCTTGAGTTCGATGAGTCTAAGTGTGAGTAGAAGAAATGTCATCGTATGTCAATAACAACTACTTCGGTCTTACAAAGAACGTGATCTTCCATGGTCCACCCACCTCTGTCTTTTCCTTTCCTTTTCCTTTTCCATTTAGGCTGACAACTCATTTTAAGATTGTGTTTTCATTTCAGCCATCCACAAAACGGAGCTTTGAACACGAATCACAGAGTCCTCATAGTACTACCTCTCTTCCACATATTCGGTCTCATAACAGCCATAGGAGGAATAGTGAACAATGCCAAAGTATTATTACTCGAAAAATTCAAACCAGATACATTTTTGAAGGTTATACAAGAGTATAAAGCAACTTACTTGCCAGTGGTACCAACATTGCTGCAATTCTTATCAAAACATAAAATTGTGGATGAGTATGACCTGAGTTCCCTGAGGGATATATTCTGTGGAGGCGCTCCTGTTGGGGAAGGAAGTGAAAAACTTATAGCCAAAAGGTATATGACCGGTTAATAATAAACCATACAGACAAAATTCAAGGGGTGACTCTTCGAGTGGTTTTATGACAAATGAAGACACAAGCGGATAAAGGTGACACGTAATATTTAAAAAAATGTTTTTTTGCATCAAACTAACCTTAAGGAGTGTTGCAAAAACAAAATAATGACATAATAATTAAACTAAATATTCAAAAAGTCAATAAAGTACAAAGTCATAAAAAAAGTCAATTTTCTCCATACAATGATTTTGTTACATGACACCTTTATCCACTTGTGTCTTCAAATAGAACATTACCTACATACCATGTTTGAGAAGTGTTCCATTAATAGGCGAGCAGTTCTATAACCTAAGGCGCATTGCGTCGAAGGATATAATGTGTGAGACCAATAACAACCTTCTTAAACGAGATATGTATAGAATGTTTTCACTACTAACACTTATATCACAAAATATTTGATTATACATCACAATCATGACGTTTCCAATTCATTTTACAAATACTAGTTACCACATTAGTTACCAGGTGTCAAACTGATATTTGAACTGTTCCATCCAAGGCAATCCAAGTGGGGTAAGGTATAAATGAGAGTCGAAGTACATGAGGAGCTATAACCAAAATTACTTATTTCTCAACCGTTCTAAAATATAAAGTTCAGTGGTCCAGCTTGGTGATTTCTCGGATTAGTAATGAACTTAAGATTTTATAAACGTTCGGTAATACTCCGTATTCAAGAACAGGCTGCTATTTTTTGTTTATGAAAAAAAAACCTTTTTCTTAATAACCTTAACAGTTTTTCAGATAATTTTGACAATCGTTGAAATATACAGAGATCAGGAATTTAAATAAAATTAAAATTTACTATCGATACTCTGAGTCTGCTTTATTTCTTTAAACCAGAACAAAGCTAACCAAAAGCTACTACCATTCTCTTTAAATAATAATAATAACAATAATAATAATTATTATTATTTTTTTTAGTCTCGTTGCATTTTTCTCCTCATTGGGGTTACATTCACTCATCCCCAATGCATACGACTTATTATTATTATTATTTTATTATAATTATTATTATTTACTCTCAAAACAATATAAAGAATGAGTAAATAAATATGAAGTAACAGCCCATAGCAGGCATGGACCATTGATGTTGCAATTGTACATATTATTGAAATATGAATACAACCAATCAACGAATTATTTGATTTTCACATTTACTATTAATTTGTGTACATCAGGGGCCTGATTCTAAATGAATTTCGACCATTGAAATTGATTTCTCCAGCACCTTGAGACAATGTACTTGATTCGCTATGATAGTTTTGACAATGCCATGGTAATTTGAATATAGAAGATCGATATAAGGATATATCAAAATTATCATAGCGAGACAAGTATATCGTGACAAGGCGCCATCGAAATTAATTTCAAGGATCGAAACTCATTTAGAATCAGACCCCTGGTCTTGCCAGAAAAAAATCCGTTCTGTTAACTTTTTTTTAAATTTCCTCAAAGCGTAGATCTTTTATATCGGCAGGTAAATTTATGTATAACTGGACCTAAATAAAGGTATGATCGTTGTATTATAGATTCATTTGGTCTAGGTACAACTGTTCCTCGTTTATGTCTTGTGTGGTGATTGTGTTTAATTTTTTGGTCGTTATTAATAAATTTGTGATAGTTGATTATAGTATGTAGGAGATGAAGCTTTAAGTCATATACGTGTATATCTCTGTATAAGATATCAGTAGGATACAATTTTGGTTCATTAAACATTGTTTTTGAGACCATTTTTTGAAAAATGTCTTGATCATAAATATGAGTTGAGTAAGTAGGTCCCCATGCCAATACATTTAAATATCATTTGGGAGATCACCTCCTGCCTAAATAAGTGTACTTTTTTCGTGTACATGTGTACCTTAAAGATTTAATTTCAAATTTAAATAGCTTCACAAAATTTTGCTCAGTGTTATCCTTTTTTTTCTATTTGGGTCAAGTGGAAGAATAGCTACATGAACTAAACTTCTCCCTTTTATAACGGATGCACAAATAAAATCGATTATTATTTTTATTAAAGAGCATAAGTACATTGATGTATAAGATGTGTTGAATACATTTTTGCTTGTAGATTTAACAATCTGATGCCCCGCCAAATCTTCGGAACAACAGAAGCTGGGGGAGGAGTCATTATTATGCCTCCAGGACATAGAAAATCTGGAAGCGTTGGTAAAGTGGTGATTGGCTGCGAAGCCAAAATTCTTGATCCTGAGTCACAGGTAAGTCATCCAATTTGAAAAAAAAATATTCTTAATATAAGTTGTCTGTGATGTCCCAATTTATAAACATGTTATTTTCCATCACAAGATGGTTTTAGGACCAAACAAAATTGGAGAAATCTGTATTCGAGGACCAAACGTAATGAAAGGATATTTAAAAAATGAAGAGGCTACCAAAAGAGATCTGGATCAAGATGGATTTTTGCACACTGGGGACCTTGGGTATTACGACAAAGAGATGTACTTTTATGTTGTCGATAGGATTAAAGAAGTGATGAAATACAAAGGCTTTCAGGTAACACAACAACTGTTTTATCAGGTCCGCCTATATGTTTTGCACTACTATCGCTTATTAACGACACATCGACTCTGGAACCGACATGTTGAGTATCACTTTGCAAACTCAGTACACGAATAACTATATTAAGCTTGTTTTATTTGATTTCTCAGGATGTTTGGTTGGAATTTTCAATTCCTGCCTCGTTCTGTGCTTTAGAGGTTCTGTCGTCCTTGTTTGTTTTTTTTGTCACAACGACTACGTTTATCTGAATTTTCTTTGATACATTGATCGAACATAATAAAATTTATGCTCAACACCTTTTCTTTTTCGTCATTGATCGTCAAGTTCATTTCGGTTCATTGGCAGTTCTTTCTTTTGAAGTATTAAATTCTTCTCTATCAGGTGCAACTTGATTTGCAACAGAGCTAGATTACCAGTTGAATCATTCTGGCGAACTCTGTCAGGATTCGGATGTTCTTTTCGCATATCCATAAATAATTTTGAGACTATATAATTCTCAACCTTATTTTCGGGTATTTTTCCAAAAATCGACTTATCCAGCTTTTATTCACTGCGTGCGTGGCACACAAAAAGCGAAAAATGTAAGGTGGGTGGATCATCGACGGTCGCGTCAACAAATAAAGTTATTATTCTTCTAAATTATAATGACACCAGAAAAGACCTAACTAGTAACATTAATCTAGCAAGTATTGAAGTCAAGGTAGATAAAGTATATAATTATAAAAACGGCGGCGTCGAAATTCAAGTTGAGCAATGTTATTACCAGAAATTGAAAAATGAACTAGAAACTAAGTTAAAGGGAAAATACAATATTTCAGGAGCAAGAGAAATGAGACCGAAAATTAGAATCATGGGCTACAAAACTGAAAAAAGACCTTCAGAAGCATAAATTAAAGAAGAAATAATATCCCAGAATACATTCATTAATGACAACGAAATCGAAATCACTTTTGTACGACACATACCATTCCGAAATTCTTATACTATATTCGCTGAACTTTCTGGAGAGCTATATAGAGACATACTTATCAACAAAAAATCAAGAATACTACTAGGTTGGCAAAACTTTATTGTCTATGACAATAACCAGATATCGCAGGGTAGGAAAGGACGTTCGGTCACAGAGTCAAAAAATGTAGGGGCGCGGAAATGTGCATTAAATGTGGACAAGCACATAGAAGTGAAGTTTGTACTGTAAGCATTTTAAAATGTTCTCACTGAATGAATTATAACGTTAAGCATAATAAGAATAATGATGTTGGCCCACAGACAAAGAATGCCCGTCGTATTTATATTTTCAAAAACAGTATTCATCCAGAATAATGTTTTGAGCGTTTAGTCCTTGTTACGTTTTTCGAGCTATATATCGTTTGCAAAACTTGGATAGTTACGTAAATAATTTTCAGGTTAATCACATCAATACAAAAATTGCTCAAGACACAAATGCACTCAATAAATGGTTAGAAAATTGTAATTTCAATGTTAGTTTATATAACATGAATATACGAAGCCTAAACCAAAATTTTTACTGTTTTGATATCTTTCTGACAACAATTAAACACAAATTTGATATAATAACATTAACAGAAACTTGGCAAATTAATGATGTATCTTTCTTCTATTTGGATGGTTATGATACGCTTTACAATAATGGTACGTACAATCAGATTGGTGGGGTGGTGGTATATGTGAGAAATGATATCAACTACAGATGTGATTTTGTTAAATTTAATGATGATATGACAGCGTTGGATTTGATATTGAGAATTAATGAGAAAGGTGTAAAAGTTACATCTTTCTATCGGTCACCATCATCAAACCCTTATACATTTGTATAAAATCCTGAAACATTTTTGTTAGATAACAAAGCCGTCTAGATGGCTTCAGATGTCTCGAATGTTCGCGATGGCGACGCGCACGCTCCAGATTGCTACAACGCTCCATACACGGTCGCGTAATTTATTGTGGTTGACTAAACGACACTGCAAAGGCGCCCCATTGCCAATCAAGGCATTACAATAGCATGGAATTGGGTGCTTGCCTTTTCAGATCGCTTATGTTTAGCTATTATTGTTTAGTGCACTTGCAAACTTTAAAGAACTGTCATTTTTTCATTCATTTAAAATCGTAAGGTTTAAATGTTGAGATTCTGGTTTTGTTATATGATTTGACTCTCTTGTTTGATATATTTTCTCAAATGAAAAACGTTTCTAGGTTGCACCTGCACAACTGGAAAACATTCTATTCCAACATCCAGGTGTAAAAGAAGTTAGCGTGGTGGGAAAACCAGATGACAGAGTTGGGGAACTTCCTACTGCATTTGTAGTGAAACAGGAAGGCGTTTCTGTGACCGAAAATGAACTTGTACAGGTTAGAGCGGAATAAAGATATTACCTATATGATGAATATTTATGATATATCTAGTATAATTCAAATGTCCAGTATTACCCTGCAATTGATAACAACCCAGTTATTACCGTGTTTATTTTTGGAAAAGTTGAACGTATATTTCCGAAATAGTTTTATCTATTTTGTTGGTGATTAACATATCACAAACAAAAAACAAGATTATTTTCAAGAGATTAATAAAGCTGTATACTTATGTATCTAGAGCTTAGAGCGACCGGTTATGCTTCGCGGCGTAAAATTAGTGCCCAAGCGCGCAACACCGCGGGTTATAGCATGCCAAGATAAGGCTTATCACGCCCAAAATTAGAATAGCTTTCAAGCAGTATTAAGGGTAAAAATACTTTTACCGTACTATTGTGTCAAGTTAGTTCCACCATCTTCGCCCCTGTGATATTGGTGTTATAACTATCCTACCGACTACCACGGAATCCTAACATTTGATGACTGCTCGAGAAAATATCTCCAAGGAACACCACACACGCTTTTAATTGCGCGACATACCTTTCCAAAATTATTGTATGAATGTGTCGCAGTGACAGTGACGGAATACTTACCAAATGCGACGTATCTGAATTTTGACCGGTTGACGCCTCTGACAGTAATCTGAGTGACACCGCGTTATTCAGTGCGTTTCATTTCCATTTGGTACGAGTAGTCACTGACTTTCGTTTTCCGAATGCGCTCATTGTAAGCTACAGAAACATAAGCAATAACCGTTTCTCTTTTTCAGCTTGTAGCGCAACATCTGCACGCCGACAAGCAACTACACGGGGGGGTTATATTTGTGGAGGAAATACCAAAGACCCAATCAGGAAAAGTTGCTAGAGCGGAGCTGAGGAAGCGGTTTCAATCGTCTTAACTATTGCAATATAAAAATAGTAATAAAGTGATTCCTTTTTTGTGTTTTATAATTAAACCTTTTGGTTGCATAAAATTCTCTTCTGAACATGCAAAACCTTATGCGAATGTCACACATTGAGTATTACTATGATCCATCAGTATTTATCATAGAATTTAGCGTGTAGCTAGGGAGTCAGTAATTTCATAACAAGAAACATTTCTATTTCCTGGTTCTGAGTAGTTAAATCTCACTGATTTTGGGTCGAGAAAAACGAATATAGCTATGAATGCTTTTGCGATTCACAGCAGTTCACCGCATTTCAAGATAAATTGAAGACCCTGTGTAATTTTTGATAAAATAAAGTTAAAAAAATATCTGCGAAAAAAAACTTTCAATAAATAATAATATCATACAATAGTCTATTCGTATTGACGCTCCCTTTCGTACGTCGGATCGGAGCATTTCTTGTAATGTTGCATTCACATACGGGCCAACGTTGGCCAACACCAATGTGTGAGCCTTCTACACATTGGAAAATGCGCCGGCCAACACGCTGGCCAACGCATTGGCAAGGACATTGGACTATCTGTCCACATGTTGGAACTGTTGGAAGGACGTTCAGTTTGTTTCGACGTAGGCCAATATGAACAACATGGAGATCATGAGAGTAGTAGCTGCTGCATTTTATTTATTTATTGCATTTAGGTACTACGTAAGTGTGTATCACTACAGATGTGTAAAAAGAAAATGGAAGAAAAAAATGAAGGTAAGTAATAACATAACCTATATCACAGACATCTGTTTACATTTTATTGTTTAGGACTAGCATGGAAAACCAACTTGCAGAACTTCTGGCTGAGCCATCTGGAGAATTCAGTAACTTCGTTCGAATATCAGTCAACGATTTTGAATACCTACTACAAAAAATGTCTCCAATTGTTGCAAAACAAGATACTAACTGGAGAGATGCCATTCCAGTAAAAATACGTCTTGCACTATCTATTTAAAATTTCAAGCCAGATTATATCAAAGATTGTCCCTGAAGTATGTTTAGCACTCAACGAAGTATTGGACGATTTAGTTAAGTAAAATGTAAAATAACATTTAGAATTCCCAATGTTAACACCTAATGTAAGCAATCTTTTGCAAATCATATGAAGATTTAAGCGAACTTTAAAGTTAAACACAGTACGATAATGGCTTTTTGTGCCCTGTATGGGGAGTCACTGCTTTATTCTAGATCATTTGTAGTATGTTCAAATGCTTCATAAACATTATTGTTTGTTGGTGTTAATGCTTCTTGGGATACAATTTCCACATTACCTGGTATGTGTATAATGGGTAGATTAAGTTCTGGTGATTGAACACTGTCATGAAAATGTTTCTTGATTGACGCTCTGTGGAAGCGTATACGATGAGTCTGAGCGTGAGGAGGAGGGTCGAGTGATTAAAATTTGGGAAGGAGAATGAGAGTAAAAAGTAGGTTGCATGTCAATTCTACGGCTTTTAGATGATGCCTGGCGATTGACCAACTTTTGTTGCAACGGTTCAGGGGATGATGATTGTGAATAAAAACTTTGCGATGATGAAGGAGTGGCCTGAACGGATCGGTCACGGCAACGACGTTTGCTCATCATCAATCCATGTATTTCATACATAAAATGTCGTCTTGTTCAGTTTTACTAAATTCTCTAAGTTATGTTGCCAAAAGCTTACAAAACAAATCGCACGCATCTTCATATTTCTTCTTGTGTTCATTTTGATTTTTAGTAGTTTGTAGCACGCTGTTTAATGTTGTGAATGCAGTAGCCATGTGTCTACTCGCTTCCTGTAAATCCGGCGGTTTTTTTGCACGACGTTTTGGTACTTTTTTTGTTTAGAGTTACTTAGAAGATTCCTATTCTGTGAAGATGTAGAGGGAGTACTGTCCTCAGCTGCGGAACGGTTGTTGTTAGTTTGCATGCTGGAAACGCTTCTCTGTTCGTCACGACTAATTTCATCATCATGTACAGCTTCCTGCTGTGATTGTAATTGAACCTGTAACAAAAAATGAAAGTGCAGAAAAGTATAGCAATAATCTTTTTTTTTTCAGATTCCAACCACTGCGGACGAATGGCTTTCAGAGGCAGAAGGTTTTAGCTTCCCTAACTGTTTGGTGCTTTGGATGGGAAACATATCATGATTCTACCGCCACCGCATACTGCTTCCGAGTACTTCAATTATAAAGGATACTTCAGTATATTACTTTTAGCTCTAGTTGACAGTGATTATTGTTTCATGTTTGCTGATATAGGTAGCCCAGGTCGAATTAGTGATGGAGGGGTTTATAAGCAAAGTGCTCTATGCACAAAAATTTATACAAGTTTACTATCTACCAATACTAACAATAACTTGCCATACGTATTTTTAGCTGATTCAGCATTTCCACTGAGTACACGGATCATTAAGCCATTTTCAGGACATCATGCACTAGGTACACCAGATAGGTTATTCAATCAAAACCTGTCTCGTTCTCGTGTAGCTGTTGAAAATACTTTTGGGATACTATGTAGTGTATTCAGAATTTGTAAACGCTGTATAGCCCTGGGCGAAGTTAAGGCTTCTACGATTACGATGACATGTGTGTTATTACATAGTTATTTAACAGAAAGTAAAGCATCTCGAGATATCTATACTCCTCCTGGTTTAGTTGATATATACAGGGTGACTTCAAGTTAAGTCGTTTATTTTAACAGTGAGTAGATCTGATCAAAAGAAATGTTTTTTTCCTTTACCATTTTTCTGGTAAAATTAAAGTAACAAAGTTATAGCCCTTTGGAAGTTTGAGTACCGCCCTGTCTCAATAATAATATTATGTGCTCGTGTTTGGCGACAACGGATATAATCCGCCTTATCGGTTCATCGCATCGGAAACAAAAAAGCGAAAGAATTTGGAACGATGTTTTTACAATTATTTTATTCATTTGTATACAGTCAGTGTCAGTGAATAGTGGTGTCTGTTGCGTGGCTCAAACGAAATAAAAAATGGCACATGTTTATGCGGATCGGTTTCCCAATCGAGTGCAACCAACCCCTCGTGCCTTTGTTAATGTAGTACAACGGGCTCGTGAATCAGGTGACGGCATGCCGGTGCTCCAAGACCTCACGATCAAATACAGGTCCGCACTGAAATACTTGTCGGGAGGATACTTTATAAAACAAGGTAAAATTTTTTTTTAATTTTTTTTTATTTTTACACACATATTTTGGTTTATCTTCCTTCTACAATCATTATCTGAAAATTAATGACTCAACTTCAAAGTCACCCTGTTTATGAGTTGACTACACAAATATCAATGAAATGGAAGAATATACGATGCCACCATTTATGACTTCTTCGATCTAGTCCAAAATTAGATTTAAGTTGGTCCAATTTATCCACAAATCCCATATTCATATTGTAGTCCAATAAAGTACGGGGACAATTTACATCTTCGATTTACCCATTTCGTGATTTCCTCCTCACGGTTGAGAAAATTTGAGGATCGTGATAGTTTGATAACAAATGTACACTTCTTTTGTCTTTCTACTTGAAAATTGACAAACCAGTGTCACTTATTTTCCAGTCGGTGTCCCCACGTTTCAGTTCCTTATCCGCTTTCATTACTGGAATATTTTTCCTATTGAAAAGTACTGTACCACATGTCCAGATTAATTCGTTTTTTAAATGTAAAAGTAGTTTGTAGGAACAGAAATAATTGTGTATAAATAGACGATGATTTTTATGTTCTAAGCCCCTCATTAAGTCTTTGACCACTCTTTCTCCTAAATTTATTTCCGTTTTATCTCCTACCTTTCCGGTATAAATCTGAAACCTGTACAAATAGCCGGACTGATCGGCGAGACTCCAGACTTTGTAGCCCCTTTTTATAGGCTTTTTTGGTAAATATTGCTTGATAGAACTCCTACCTTTAAATCTAATCATAGACTCATCTATGGCTAGCTTTTCTTGCGGTTCAAAACATCTTTCAAAATTTTCAGAAAGCCTATTCAAAAAAGGGCGAACCTTATATAGCTTATCATAGTTTGGCTCATTTCTACCAGGCATAAGACTATTGTTATTTAGATGTATATGGCTGAGTAGCCATCCAAAGCGGTTTACTGACATTAATTTGCTAATATATTCATCATGTAGGTCTGGGCTAGAACTCCAATAGTCTCTATAGCTGGGCAAAGGTTTTATACCCATCAAAATGTTGATTCCCAGAAAGACCTTAATTTCGCAAACGTTCGTTGGAGCAAACCGCTTGCCTTCTTGCGTTGCATATAAATTAGTCTCGAAGACAATGTAATTGATATTTTTATCGGTAATAAGACATTTAAAATATTTATATGGCGTTGGACTTTCAATGCTTTTAACTATATCTGTTGGACCTCTTCTGTGAGTGAATTCGGGATCGACATTGACCCAACCATTTTTTTTCAAACTGGTGGACGGAATTCTTGTACACCCGGCCGGTCTCTGATGATTTGTTGACGTAAAATGGAAAGTGATATGTCATCTTCATCGTCGTTCGGTTTATCAGAATCCTCTGAAAGTAAGATTTCATCTTGCAAAGTTTGCTGTAGAAGCTCCGGTTCTTCATAATCCTCTGCCAGAGTCGACTCTTGATCAGAAGGTATGTCAACTTGTTCGATTTCTTCGAGAAATTCTTTGTATGACCAACCTTTCAGCCTGAATGGCAATTCGTCCATTGTCACTGAAATTATATTCAGAATTCAGAATTTCCCCCGATAGAAAAAATTCAACGAATGCATAATTATGCAAACAACCATTACTAATTTACCACGACTACTATCCTTGTAGCACAAAGGTACAATCAACGTACCACCTCATAAGTAACGAAATATCAATAATTATCGTAATTAGGTACTTACCAATTAAAAACAATACTGTGTTATATCCCAGTAAACAACAAATAGTGAATAATATAAACTTTGGACACTATTTTACATAAATAAACAAGTGATTTATACGTAGCACACCGTTCACCGGCAATTACAACTGTAATACATAGTAACATAACCTAAAAGTTAAAACGTGGTCACCAGCGGACGGGATTTTTCACCCGAATCGTTTGGAACACGGAAACGCGGGTGGTATATATTTTATGGCTTCGTGTCGCAAACAATATGATATTGAAAATGTGGTACGAATATTGTATCATCGTGTCATAAAAGCAGATGAAATGGTGGTACAATTATTATATCAGCATGCCTCTAAGGGTTAAACAAAACATTACAAAACCTACTATTAATGTACATGAATTTAATCCATTCTTTTTTGTTTAAAGCAAGTTTCTTAGCTTCTCTCCAATCCGTTCCTCTTTCCATCAGTATCTGTTCTATGGTATTCTCCCATGTTCTTTGTGGCCTGCCCCTTCTTCTTTTTCCTAGCACCTTACTCTCACAAACTTGTTTCACCGGTATGTTGTCTCGCATTCTTTGCAAATGTCTCCATCATCTCAGCTGCTTCATTTCTATGTGTTCTAGTATGGATTCTGTCTCTATCTCCGTTCTTATAGTCTCGTTTCTTATTTTGTCCATTTTGGTTTAACTCGTCTCAAGTATTTAATTTCAACTGCCTGAAGTTTACTTTTTTGTTGTTGCGATAGAACCCAGGATTCGCATCCATATGTCAATATGTATATTGTATTATAGTCTGTCATTTTTGTTTTCTTGGACACCTCTTTTTTATTGATAAAGCTTTTACTCATCGCATAGTACAAGTTGTTTGCCTTTCCTATCCTTTCAGAAATTTCTATTTCATTTCTGCCGTTAGGTTCCAATATAGATCCCAGATATTTAAAGGAGTGCACCTGTTGTAATTTTACATTATCTATTCTTACGTCCATATTTTTCATTTGACACAGCCATAACTTTAGTTTTAAGTTTATTTAGTTTCGTACCATAATCTTCAAGTAATTTATTCCAAATGTTCAAATTTTCCTGTAGACTCCCAACACTACCAGTTACCAACACCAAATCATCTGCAAATGCGCACTCTGCTAATTCCACTTTTTACAACTTCCTGTATCAAACAAAAATTGGTTTTGTTCTTTGTCTGCATTGTCTTATCAGATCATCCATAAATACTATAAACAATAGGGGACTAAGCCCTCCGCCTTGACGTACTAACTCTGTAGTAGCGAATTCCTCGGACATCATATTTCTGGATATTACTCGATTGTTAGTCTTGTATTATATACTCATGATCACTTCTACTAATTTTACAGGAACATTTCTTCTCAGAAAATTGTCTTTTAACTTTTTTCGTGGAACTCTATCAAGAGCTTAGGTACATTGGTTTACCTTTTGGTAAAAATTTATTTATCAAGTTTTTAATACAGAATATGTGATCCTGAGTGCTTCTTCCCTTTCTAAAGCCACTTTGTGTTTCAGACAATGTCGGCTCTATTAACTTTCTTAGTTTTTTCTCTATTATGTGTTCATAGGCCTTGAGTACTGTAGACAGCAACGTTATTCCTCTGTAATTATTACAATCTTTCTTGTCTCCTTTCTTGAAAAGTGGTAAAATCAGCTCTGTTGTCCACTGCTCGGGTATTATCTGTTGTCTATATGTTTTTGTGAAGAGAGAATGTAGTATTCTAATTCCAGTTTCATCCATCTTTTTCAACATTTTCCCTGTTATTTTATCTATTCCAGGTGCCTTTCCATTTTAAGTTTCTTCAATGCTTCTGTTACCTCGTCTATTGTTATCTCCTCTTCTTCTGTATCTTCGGTGACTTGATGTGTCGTAGATACTGAGGTATTATCTGGTTCGGTGTCATTCTGTGAGTTAAACAAATCATTAAAGTACTCTTTCCATCTAGCCCGTATTTTTTTGTCCTCCATAATCAGAACTCCATCTCGATCCATTATCCCTGTTGCGTCAGTTGCTGCGTTTTGTCTATTTCGAAGTCTCTTCAAGACATTATAAATTAATTTTTGGTTACCTTTGCTGTCACGCTCAAATTTATATGCAAAATCACTCCATACTTTCTTCTTACTGTCTCTCACCATGGTTTTCACTTTTTTCTCTGTTTTTTGAATTCATTATAGATTTCCTCTGTACGTTATTATTCCACCAAGCTGCTTGTTTTCTGTTCGAACTCGTTCTATATGTACCACAAACTGATTTCACTGACGTTAGCACCATATCTCTAAAAGTTTCCCACAGTGTTTCTATTCCCATTCCGTTTATCCCCTTTTCCACCGATTTAATCGATAAATTTAAAGTCTCTCTATACCTCTTAGCATATTCTCGTTCTCTCAACTTGTATATTCGTACATTTTCAAATATCTTTTCTTTCTCAGAACACTTCTTGTTAGTTTCACATTTTTTCTGACATTTTATTTTTCCAATTACCATATTTCAGGTCCTCTTCAGATTAGAAAACAATTGTGTACCTACCAGACGCGGATGAGCCGCTGTGACATTCATTCCCACAAACTTGCAAAAAATTTGAAGTTTCGATGTACGTTTTGTTGAGAAATCTGTTTGAGTGTGTCAAATTATTGTGTCTCACTGTTAAAAGGTAAGTTTGTGTATTTACAAACTTCAGTTACCATTTTTATTTAATTTACTAAATTGTTGATTGAGTGGAGACGCGTTCATACATCGGCCATTGGGACTTTTTTACCACATCACAATCAAACCAACGTGGCGAAATAATTTTGAAACGATGAACTTTAAGTACCTAATATTGATTCCAAATGTATTTAAAAGTACTATTATAACGTCAACCTGTGCACAAAAATATAAATCTCCCGGTGGCCAATATACTGTTGAATACATTACGCTATTAAGATAAAATAAGTGCCTGTAAGATTACTTCGAGTCTTGTATTGCAATGCAGGGAGGGTCTGGGTTGACGGCGGACACTCTGGCGAAGACAGGATCAGCCAGCAAGCTCGTTGGTCCTGAGAAAGTTCTAGGAGTGACCGCGCATAGAGCTAGGAGGAAAATGGAGACGTGGGTTGCAAGACAACACTCTCAGAAATGGAGGAGTATCTCCAGACATCTCCGTCAGGCACGGGAACTCATTGAAGGGCCCAGTGCTAAGGATGGACGTTTCTGCCTATCTCTGGATAGGGCCAACCTAAGGTTGCTGGTGGGACTGTTGTCTGGCCATAACACGTTAATGGGGGTGGATCCCTTGTGTGAACGCTGCGGAGTAGAAGAAGAGATCTCGGCGCACGTTTTGTGTCTCTGTGAAGCTCTGAGCTACTATAGGCAGACTATACTGGAGTCCATTACTTTGGACCCTCAGGATGTCAAGAAGCTTGGATTCAAGGCGATTCTCAACTTCGCTAAAAGGGCGAGGCTTGTGATTTAAGGAATGTAGAGGTGCATAAGTGCCCGCTTAAGCGGCCTATGCACTGGCTCCTTATGGTGGCCGGAATGCCTCTAATTTCAAGATTCATTCATTCATTCAAGATAAAATAATGGGCATATCATTAGTAATTACATGTAGGTATCTTGCTTATTTATTTATTAGGTACTTATTTGTTTTATTGGTATAGGTGCAAAATGGCAGCGGAAAAAAGAAAGTTTTCCGAAGATTACGTTAAGTTTGGATCTTCCTCCATAGAAAAAGACGAGTTACAATTGCCTCAGTGTGTGATATGTATGAAAATTTTAAGTAATGATAGCATGAGGCCCAATCGCCTTGGAAGGCATTTGAAACAACATCATCCTACTCTGGTTTTGAAGACGAAAGAGTTTTTCTTCTAAAGCAGAATCACTCAAGCGCATGAGACTGGATAAATCGGGAAGTTACCACAAAGGTGTATCGCAGTATCTCAAAGCTGCATTTGAAATAGCTTTTATGATAGCAAAGCAAAATAAACCTCATACTATCGGTGAAGAATTAATAAAACCATGTGTCAAGCATAGAATCGATGAGATTGCAGCAGACATAAAGTCACAAATAATTAACAAAGTAAAATTATCGCCATTTTTTGCCTTTAGTTGCGATGAATCCACCGACATCGTTAATTGTGCACAGTTAATAGTTTATGTTCGTTATATCGGCGGAGATATCATTCAAGAAGAGATTTTGTACTCCCAATCTTTGACAGCAGGTAGTACATCTGAAGATATATTTAATTCGATATCAAATTTTGTTGAAAAAAATGATTTGGATTGGAAGAAACTCATTGGACTTTGCACAGATGGCGCACCTGCAATGATCGGTGTACGAACGGGCTTAGCTAAAAAGCTCAACGAAAAAAATCCCGCAATGGTTAGTACACATTGTGTTATTCAGCTTTGACTTCCAAAACATTGCCACAGAAATTACGCCAGACTTTGGACTCGGCTATAAGGATTGTAAACTACATCAAGAGCAGCGCTTTGAACAGTCGGTTATTTACTTTACTTTGCGAGGATCTCGATTCTGATCACAAAGTTCTTCTGTTCCATACAGACGTACTCTGACTGTCCAAAGGCAACATGTTGTCTCGCCTTTATGAATTGAAAGAAGAGGTGATGCTTTTCCTTGAGTTCAAAGAAAAACACGATTTCTTGACAATGTTCAAAGATGACACATTTCAATGGCGGTTGGCTTATTTAACTGACATATTTGACTCCTAGAATGAGCTAAACTTGAAACTTCTGGGCAGAAACAACACTATAATATGCAATTATGATTATATTCAGGGGTTCATATCAAAGCTTCAACTTTGGAATCAAAAAGTGTCTTCTGAAAATGTAATATCTTTTTCTCGGCTGTTCGAAGCAATTTAAAAGAACATACTGGACTCAAATTTAAAAGCTGACATAAAAACTCTTTTGCAAGCGCTATAAGACCAATTTCGCCGATACTATCGAGACATCAAGTCAGAGTCACCAATATGGCACATGACAAGAAATCCATTTGTTGTCGATGTGTCACAATTACCAGAAGAAATTCAGGAAGAATTTCTAGAAATGAAGGCTGATTCGTCCATGAAAGATGACTTCCATCTTTTAACATTGGAGAAATTTTGGATCAAAAGATTGCCTGTTAATTCGACACTTGCCTCTCTTGCTTTACGCATACTTGCTTCCTAGGTTGCTTTTTTCCCTCTTGACTGTCATTATTTTTATATGAGGTCATGGTCGCAACACTACCTACTTCAAATCTATAATAAAACGCTGAGGCACAAAGCATATAATATGTATATAAAAGTGATGCGCCATTGCGTTCACAATAAAAACAAAAGTTGAATTCTCATTATAATTGTGTATTCATTTGATTCAACTTTTGTTTTTATTGTGAGCACACTTTCATTTTTATCTTTGGTTTATGTAATAATGTTTGTTATAGATTAGAAGTAGGAAGTGTTGTGACCATGTGCTGATATGAAAAAATAAGTTAAACATTCTAAAATGGGTGAATTTTTGACAAAAATGCAAAAATTGCGAACCTTGGACCATTAAAAACAACAATGAAGTACTACTACTAATACTACTAAAATAAAAGTGAAAATAGTGAAAGTTTAAAATACTTATGTTCTCAAATATGTATCTTTAGGATAGAAAATCCCCCATATGAACTCTGATCCTTTGTATCTTCATTGCCCCGTCAGCCGAATCTTTTTGGATACGAAAGTCATAATAAGACACATTCAGACTTCATTTTGTATATTTTTTGGATGTTTCGGATTCTTCACAACAATCTCTCCAGTTCCGCTTCTCTGTTTCCTGATCATCTTTAAGACACAGAATGATTCAACAAAACGCTCAGGAGATTTTAGAGACTGACAAGTCTTAATTTTGAATATACTCGAACCTACTTTTGGCCTCATAAGGATAATAATAGGTATATAAACAATCTTTGCGGGCCAAATGGCAAGGACTTTCAAACTCGTATATTTTTTGCTTAAAAATGACATTTTTGGACATTTTAAAGCCATTTGTGAAGGTAAAACTTTAACGTAGTAGAAAAAATTAAATTATGAAAAATCCTAAATTGATTTTTGGGCGTTTCACAAGTCTTTGACAGTTTTTGACATGTCAAAAAATAGATAAGGCAAATGAATACACAATTATGAGAATTCAACTTTTGTTTTTATTGTTAGCGCAGTGACGCAACGCTCTCATTTTTATATAATAAAAAATAATCTTAATTAGTATTACATCGATATCACATAAGTCGTCAAAAACCTTCATAATGAAATAAAAAAAATTCATACCGACTAAAATGGCCTTCTCATGGGTCCGTTCCTTGTGAGGCCAAAATATCATTGATGGTGTTAGAAATCTACTATTCATATTTTGGTGGTACAAATAAAAACTGGTTCTTGAGTTCGATGGGCGTTAGTGTCATAGTATAGCAGCACTACTTTTTAAGAATTGGACTTCAAAAGAGAGTCGCCTTCCATGATCAGCTCATCTTACATATGTTTATGTATAACGGATGAATTCGCATAATACATCCATTTTTATATTTGTTTGTCTAATCATTGTTGAGTTTATAACAATAAATAATCCGAACAATGTTCAGCGTACCCAGACCCAGGACTCATTGTTGGATCACCTGTTTTCAATATTGCTATTGACTATATATCGCGCTTTTACGTAGGTATGGTTGCAACAAAAAATATCTATCAGCGTGATTTCTCTAATTTCATTAATAACATATCTGCTACGCTAAGTAGGTTCACTCTGTATCCAACACTTTGCTTCGGATTTTGATGGTACCGTAGTAGCTGAAATCGAATATAAAATATGTACTTTATTAATTAATAATAAATATGAAAATTACAAATAAGCAATGTAATTAAACGATACAGTTTTGCAGTTCTCAATAATCGTATAATCCCCAACTCATATTTACATGAAGCGAATTGACAGCCAATTATGATTTTGACTCATTTCTTAACTATTAGATACTAATTTACTAACTGTTCTATTTACCAACAGTCAATAATTGGTTTTTACTTCAAATGTATTTGCTAAAACATAAGAGAAAGAAAAGACTTTTTCGGAAAAATTTAGGTAAAGTCCTAAATACACAACAAGAAATTAATTAGGTAGACAAATCTGTTCAAAGTGCTTGCAATGCATAGTTCATTTTGCTTGTACCTATCTATCACTTTTCTGAGTCTCGTAGGCAAATACTTATACAGGGTGACTTCGAAGTTGAGTCATTTATTTTAACAGTGAGTAGATCTGATCAAAAGAAATGTTTTTTCCTTTACCATTTTTCTGGTAAAATTAAAGTAACAAAGTTATAGCCCTTTGGAAGTTTGAGTACCGCCCTGTCTCAATAATAATATTATGTACGTATATATGTTCGTGTTTGGCGATAACGGATATAATCCGCCTGACCGGTTCATCGCATCGGAAACAAAAAAGCGAAAGAATTTGAAACGTTTATCACGATGTTTTTCGTCAGTCGATAACGCGTTAGTGAATAGTAGTGTTTGTTGCGTGGCTCAAACGAAATCAAAAATGGCACATGTTTACGAAAATGCTGAACTTGTGGACATGATTCTTATTTACGGGGGGACAGTCTTTACAAAATGCTCCCGGATGCATCACGGATTTATGCGAATCGGTTTCCCAATCGAGTGCAACCAACCCCTCGTGCCTTTGTTAATGTAGTACAAAGGGCTCGTGAATCAGGTGACTTAAGACCTCACAGGTCAGGGCATGCTGCTCCAAGACCGCACGATCAAATACAGGTCCGCACTGAAATACTTGTCGGGACGATACTTTATTAAACAAGGCAACATTTTTTTTTATTTATTTTTTTATTTTTTTACACACATATTTTGGTTTATCTTCCTTCTACAATCATTATCTGAAAATTAATGACTCAACTTCAAAGTCACCCTGTATATGGTCAATCTGTTGAAATATAGGTGCGTACTATAAACTGTGGTTGAAACATTACACATAAACGTGATTCAAAGATTTTTACTAATGCCAAACCCATATTCATAATTGTTGACTTCTAAAAAGCTTTCCGAAAAACGATGATTAGTAGTTTGAGCGGTTATTATAATTCATTTCCTTGACTGTTATCTGTTTGCAACCTCCAGGTTATTGGACACATTTTAAAAGAGTATAAAGCTTTTTTTCCTTGCATTGTCGTAATTTCAGTACCTTCTGACTTATTACTTCCCACGTGTCTGGCGGGGAAGAATTTTAATCGCGAAAATTTTCGAAAATAAGTGTAAGCTTACGAAATATCTCAAACACATTTTTGCATGCGAGTCCAGCCCTGTAGCACACGAAATCTTTCCAAAATGTTCACAAGTCTGGTTAGGATCACTCAGCACCTCAGCCCTTAAGCCTGTTTATTTTATACATTCCATTCCTTCTCTGGGTCCTTGTTCCCAGGATAAACTTTCTTAAAAACGCAGGCTGGTTTCGCTACTCAGTCCAAATGGTGCGTGTAAGTCATTACTTCTCAAACGAAGTAGTGCGCATTGTGGACCTAATTACAGTGTTGACGTGCTATTGGGTATAGTGTTTTGGTTACTTGAAAGGTGAGCAATCACTGAGTGTTTCCTTTATTCTACTGTACTGCATGGATTTATAACTATATTCATGATCATGAATGTCTTAAGCCATGTTTATAAAGATGTTATACTTTTTACCTTCTTAATTTAATTTATGGCTTACGACTTGTTATTGAATATCCGCAGGTGGGACGCCTCCAGGTTCTGGGGGTTGTTATGGAACTTTTGGAGTCCGTTTGCTGGGTTGAGGTAGTTATGTTAATTACTGCTCGGTTTCCTCGTCCAGGGGAAACGTCAGAGCGCTTGGGATGTTGACACGGTGGCCTTTGGCCAAAGTGACGTCCTAGATCTGAATGACCGCTTAACTATCTTCTCTTGGCAATCGCTGGAGTCTGAATGTATCTCAACGCCGGATGTGTGAAGGGATTGTTACTTTAATGATAGTCATCTTGCTCGATTATCTCTGATTCAGGGGTAACGTCGGAGCTTTGGGGTATTGACACGGCAACGTGATATCTCGGTTCCTGGACTTTCTTTTTTGTAACAATCGTTAAACTCGGCACGTCTGTCCATACACCTAGCGACCAAAGAGTTAGTCTGTGTGACGACTTACTGATCAGTCTGTGTGAGGGTCAGGATCAGTCTGTGTGGCGATCCCATGATTCAGTCTGTGTGAAGAATCCTTACTAGTAGTTGGGGTACACTAATCTAATGTTAAATAGTAGATTTCTGCATGTCATGTCATGAGTCAGTTGAATACGGGATATACTCATAAGTATTTTTCTAAAAATAGGCGTTGGCCCCGGCAATCCGATCATATCACCCTTATCGCTTGCCAAAGGAGCATAATTCGTTGTCGTTTCGTCACAAAGTAAGTGACTTTAATAATACCCTGACATTGTTGCCCATATAGAATTGTTTACGTACTGCCCTTGTAGTAAAAATGAAATGGTACAGGTTGGTAGTATCGTAACCTTCTAAGATGGGTTTGTGGTTTTCACGTTTATCGTTATATTCTATTATTATCATCTCGTTCGTATCCTATACGAGGTATTATATTTTTTAGATGTTATATGATATGTACAACACGAAAAACCATGACACTCATTCCCGTCGGTGTGTCTGTCGGTTGATCCGCTAATCTTATAACCGGCTATAACGTGAGAAGTACATAATGTAAACATCATAGATTTATCCGTACATTAGCATATTCTCGGCAGACGGATCGCGTACCTACCGACCGCGGATGCTGCTCCCTGCGTCGTACCGCTGGCTATGGTGAATGTTCTGATTTTCTGGTATGGTACTAAACGTATTTCTGGGACGCCACAGCATAGTGTTTCTTATGCTATGATCGCCCTGCAGAATCATCCTCTTAAATCTTCTTATTGTTCTCCCAGTCTTAGTTTAATTAGTCACAAAAGAAATGGGGTGAATGACTTGTTTGTCACGGTATTTGTTGCAACACATCCGAATTGTACGTAGGTATTGTAGGTACGTGTAGGTCACGGTGGAGGAATGCATTAATCAATGCTTGCAGTAACCTACTATATATGTGGAATATTTTCCTAAGATTTCAGAACTGTGCTATTATTTGTGAATGAGATACAATGAAGAGAAATTCATAAAATTACATACGTATTTTGAAAAAAAGGAGAAATTGTTTTTCAGTGATCTTTATACGCACCATGAATCAATCAAACAGAAGTACCTACAAACCTACGAATAATATACTATACTCCTTTCCTGTTGAGAAAAAGGGATGAGTGACCCTATGTTCTAAGATTATTGGGTGACCCATATTGAAAACTCAGAAGCACTGTGCGTCGTGTGATGTCACACCGCGTCCCGTCTCTCGAATTATAGTAGATTAGGCTAGACAACGATAAAAGCGATGGGACGTCATTCATGTGTCTTATATATATATATTGAACACATTAGTTTGTCTACAGTATTGTAACAACCTACAGCTACTGAACATGGTACTCCTAGCTTTAATTTTATGACAGTTACTCAAGAAATATGGCTTCAGAAAAATGTATATTTCGTGGCCCACCACTTCCGAATGAAGTACCTGCAAAGAGCTTGGGGCGTTTATTCTACAATGTGCTTGAGAGAAGTCCAAACAATGTATTTCTGGTGAGTTCATGAAGAATTGGTCATCATTCGACATAGGCGAGAAATTAACTTGAGTTCATACCAAAAATATAGTCATACGATGAGTTCAAAGTAGTTGAACTAAGATATTCATGTAACATTTCAGCACTTAATCTTTTATAATTATTTTGAGAAAAATGTCATCACAGCGTATACAATAAGCCATTCGACATCTCCTGAGGCACATTAATCTAGCTCCTAAGTTCCTTGAATTCCGTATGGGTATATGGTGGTTTGGCTAAACAATTATGGCTCTCCTTCCAAGGGCGTACCCAGGGAAGCAAGGGGACCGCTTGGCAAAAATTAAATATAGAGAACATTTTTTACAAAAATTAAATTGTTCATGTACAGGGTGCTTCACAAGTTGAATTAATATCTATTAGATGAGGAATTAATTGAATTACTATTATTAGTTGAAATGTATGTTAGATATAAACTTAATTTTGCTAAAAGCTCTATATCTGCATATGTTACATGCGTTTCCAATTCGTACTTCGCCTTTGGGATCTCGGAAACGGTAAGGAGAATGTCACATGATCAGCATTTACGGTGGTCTGTGCCATCAGTGGATTTCTATGTAACATTATGCTTCCATAATTATTGAAAGTTGAGTATAGCCTAAGGAGCTTGGCTTAACGTTCTGGGGATCCAAAGTGATGGACCTCAGTATTGCCTGCCTGAGGTAGCTCAGAACCTTGACAAATCTTTCGACGTGTCTTGACGTTTTTTCTTTCAATTAGTGGTTTTCAATAAATTCGTGGTGGGAAGTTTTCAAATGAACACCCTGTATAATACTGTCTGTATGAATTAGAGAAACAACCTCAAGGTTAGGATGTCATAGATCTGCATTCTGGATTATTTTTCCTTTTTGTTCTATTTTACTGATTCTTTAGGTCGATGTTACTGCTAGGAGGGAATTAACTGGCAAATGTTTGCTGGCTGCTTCTGTGAATTTGGCATCTACATTGAAAACATTTGGATTGGGAAAGGGTGATATGGTAGGGATAGTTTCACCATCTACGTGGAAATATGCAGTTTGTATCTTTGCGAATGCATTCTTAGGAGTAACAATTGCAGGCACAAATCCAAATTATCTTAAAGGTATGTTTAGTCATAAACCATTTAATCAACTGGCAATTAAGTGACTTTAAGTATTATTGTACAAACACTACATTCCAATTTTGGATACAGCAGCAAATTAATTTCATGTTTTTTATTGTAACATATGTAGACGTGCGCCCATTAGAGAAGTGAAATGTACCTATAGGGTATCTGCAGGGTTATCACGTAAAAAACCTATATAATGTCAAAAAAACAGATAAAATGTCAACTTGTTGACCAAGTAGGCTAGTGTGCAAATAGTTCATCCCGTATTTGCTATCAGCGATCATGAAGTGAACGACAGCTAAATCCGAGTTGTTCTTGTAGCAAAAACCTACATAATGTCATAAAAACCTGCATAATGTCAAAAAACCAGCTGAAGCATCATGACGTTTAGGCAACACTTACAGCTATGGAACCAGTACACAGCAACAGCTAGTGCTAAGTTGACATCTTATAGAAAAACCTACATAATGTCATAAACAACCTATAAATAAAAAAATAGACATAATGTCACTTTTCAAGTTACGTAAGCAAGGTAATTTTCGTGGACATATACAACACAAAAAGAACATACGTCACTTGTTTCTGGAGAAACGTCCTATATATAAGCTTCTGCCTCCGGTAATTCTTCGCACCTATTTCACATATTTCATACATATATTTCCTCGCGCATTTGCAATTAGGACATAATATGATAGACATATCTCAACTTTACCCACATCCAGTGCAACGAAAAGCACTACATTTTATAAAGTTCGCCACCGCATCTGTCTGAACGCGATAAAGTCAAAAACTACCCAACGGATTTTGAAACGGTCTCCACCAGAAGGATTCGGGAGGAAGTTTCAGGTGAGTGTTTTATTAAAGTTTTTTTGGTAAATTAACAGAAACATGACAGAATCGTTACCCAAGGTGAATTTGCCTATGAAAGGCATTAATTCACGTACGCTTCGAAACCTACTAATGTTATTAGATAATAAAGTACTAAACAAGGGCGTATCCAGGGAGGAACAGCTGCCCTCTTTCCCCTAGCTTGGTATAAATCAAATGGAGAGAACATTGTTTCCAAAAATTAAATTAATTAAAGAGGGCTGAAAACTATGTTGGTTATAAATTTGGTTATATAATTTTATATTATATATTTTATATTATATACATATATGTTACGTGTATAATTAGTAGTAGGTATTCAAATTCGAACCTCGCCTTTGGGATCTCGGTAGTGGTAAAGCGAATGTAACACGACCAGTATTGACTGCGGTCGATACCATCAGTGGATTGTTGCACAACATTATGCATTAGTAATTACTGACGACTAGCTACACGAACAATAAATATCATATCTCATGACAAATATATTGACGGATCACAGTAAATAATGATCTTATGACATTCGTTTAAACGACCCGGAGTACTTTATGGGGCAAAGTTACGCAAGTAAATAAAAAATAGAACTTGAACAGATTGAAAATTCAAGCTACTTCTAAGTCATTTTTATTTTTTCCTGGATTTAGTCCGAACAAAACTTTCCAAACAAACACATTGTGTAAAAATCTCAAACAAATTGCACAATATCATTGCCACTTTTGTATTTTACACGGTGGGATAATTAGAATTTCGATCTGACGTTGCAGCTCTCAGTTTCTTAAAATTATTCTGTTTTCGATGTCTTCATTATTACCCTTAAATTATATAATAATAATAATAATAATAATAATAATAATAATAATAATAATAATATAAGGCTTACTCAAGAAAAATATAATATTGTATGTCATATTTGAAGCCAGAAGTAAAAACTATTAGCCTATACAAAAATGGCATACATGAGAAAAGCTAAGTTCAACGGGGAAGAGACGAGAGACGAAGAGTCACATTAATGTTCTATTCATGCCACTTTCAAAAAGTGGCAATGTTATTGAGCAGTTTATTTTGAAATCCTGTCTCAAATGAATTATTAGAAACGATTTGGAGAAAAATCGTTCCCCTTCAGTGCATTTCCAGAGATACTCAAAGCGTCAAAACTCTCCAAATACATTTTATAAAATATGTAAATACGCCACCATGCAACCGACCCGTATCTTACCGTTTCGGAGATCACAATGGTGAATATATGACAAATTTGTTTCTCAAAATATTCTAAAGCAAACTAAGTACATATTCTTCACCATATTCTACAAACCTATTTTTGGCTATGTGACGAAATTTCAAGTAATAGTAGAAAAACATCGAATATCGACAAAGAAAAATTATTTCTGGTATTAATATAATATGCTATATCAAAACTTCTTGCATTGAAGTGGCATATCAGAATATACTACGGTGTTCCATTTAAAAAAAATCGTTGTCGTGTGGGTATGAATCACCCTGTAGGGAGAGATATACTCCAAGGAGACAGCGTATAGACCACAATTTTGGTAAATAACATCTTTGATTAGGTTTTATAGTAATGAAGATATTGTCCAATTACATACCAAAAACTCACACTGTATGTCTAATTTGTTGCAGCAGTTACGTCGATGGAGATCTTGAGCATTTTTCTTATGCTAATCACTGCACAGGGTATATCTTTTGGCTACAATTTCATATTTACTCTAATGCACTTTTCGGCAAAAAATTAACATTTTTTACACCTTATGCTGCTCCTGCTGCGTTTAGAGTTATGCAAAAGTGACTAGATAATTAAAATTTGAAAAACGAATTTTGCCGGATTTCGCAATCTTCGAATCCTTAAAATAAACTTTTTGACTACATCTTAATATACAGGGTGTTCCGAAACTATTGTGCCAATATTTAGTGGGTGTTAGAACTCACCAAAACAAAAGTTTTTTGCTTATAAACCCATAGGCGCATGCGCCTTGTTTTGGTATTATAGGTGCCGCAAGTGTTGAGTAACAAAAGTCCGCTCCGTAAATGGTGTTAATGAAGTTTTATTTATTCTTCTTAATATAAAACAGTGGCAACGTCCGTTCGTCACTAAATTACGTCGCGCCAGTATTACATCCTAGCCTAACCTGTAGTGTTCCGAAATGCAAAGTTTTACATCTGCTGAATTAGCAGACCTACACAACGCGTCCGTATTGTTAAAACCTTTTACTTAAATAATGAGTCGAAGGATGAACCTGATGCTTTAATAATAAATTATCAACATTTGGCGTCAATTTTGTAAGGGTTAATCTTAAATCTCCTCGGCTAATGATGTCCAGTCTGTTTCTTTTTTTCGTTAGGAGATTGGTAACAGCGCTGAACCCCCTTTCCACTAGGTATGACGATGGAAAGGAAATTAAAAATTTCCTAGCTATATTCCATAATACGGGATAAGTAACGGGTATGTTGTTTTGCAGTCAGAATTGCTGATATCCGTTTTTAAACTGAACCTTAAGTTCTTCGTTTGTACTTAGTTCAGTCAGTTCCTCTTGTATTATGACATTCGTTTCTTCTATGTCACCATATGGATTAATTATCCACGGTGGTATTACCATAGTCAAAATATCCTCAAACCTATATTCAAAATCTGAATAGAGGGCATTTAAATGTTGAACGTAAGTTGAATCGTCGTCTTCCTGGCAGCTTGTCTGTGACAAATTGGGGAACTGAGGAAATTCGCCCCGTCCAATATTTTGCTTCATTAGTTTAACTCTGGCAAGAAACGCTGATAAGATGGACTTTGTTTTAATCAAATTTAAACTGTCGCCTTGTAATTGCAAATTAACCATATTAAATTTTGTAAACAAATCTGTCAAATAGGCGATGTCTGTTTTCCTCTTCAATAAATTTTCTTTTAAAATTTTATCTTTAGTATCCAGAAATTCTAAAATAGTCTCAAAAAGTGCAAAAATTCTTATCAAACATAAGCCTTTCGACAGCCAGCGTACTTCAGTGTGAAGGAGTAATTGATGAAAGTGTTCGTCATTTTCTTCACACAACTGCGCAAATAACCGCGTATTCAACGCGTTGCTTCAGATTCGGTTTACTGCATCAATAACTAAATGAAGTGATTCATGCAATCTAACACTCAAATTTTTAGCAACTAAATGTTGTCGATGGATGATGCAATGTATTGCTAACACCCTTGACACATTTTGTTTTAAATAGCTTATAAATCCACGATAACGTCCAACTATGGCAGGTGCTCCATCTGTAGCCAGTGATATTATATTTGATAAAGGAATTGCTTTTTCAATGAAGTAATCGTTCAAAACATGAAATATTGATTCACCTTTAGTGTCGGTTATCAAAGTTCTTGCGAAGAGCAGTTCTTCGTAGATTTCTTGATTCATAATAAAACGAACATACGCCAATAATAATGCTGCATTATCAGGTAAAGTTGACTCGTCCAGTTGTATAGAGAAATGGGTCGTTTGCAAATAATTACATAAGAAGCTTTCAATATCAGAACTCATTTCATCAATACGTCTTTCAACAGTATTGTTGCTTAAGGGAATTCTTTTAATGATATCAGATGCAGGTTTGTGTAAAACAGTTTTTAAAACCTCTTCAACGGCTGGCAAGATTAACTTCTCTCCGATAGCATGCGGTTTTCCGGATTTTGCTATAAGTAACGAGATATTGTAAGACGCCCGCAAACCATCATCATTTCTCTGTGACGTCGAAGCGAAGATTCTGTCCGGTGTAGGTCTCTTCTGAAATTTATGTTTGAGTGTTTGAAAGTATTTCAAATCTTTCTCTGTTTTATCAGGGTGGCATCTTCTCAGATGACCTTGCAGTTTAGATGATTTCATAGCGTCATTGCCCAAAACTTTCTTGGATAAAAGGCACATAGGCGATTGTTTGTCCGACAATGATGGAATGAAGCCAAATTTCAAATAATCAACACTGTACTGTCTACATTTCTTTTTAGATTCGGACATGGCATCAGTCATCTGTGGGCAAAATTAAATTATTTAAATAAGACAGAAAATCCAGCAGCTGTATATTAAAAATATTTTTTGATTTTTCCGAAAACATTCCATAATTCAAACATCTTCTTGCAACAATTAGCTCGAATTACGGAGATTGCACTGTAATTATATTACCGATTGCTAAAACTTTCAAAAAGAAACTATTGAGGAGTACTCGTGTAATTTTGCATGATTGAATATTTAACTACTAATAACTAAAGTCATGATTGGCGTAATTTATCTATCTTTGCTAACTACGAGTACAAAACTAAAATTTAATGAAAAATAATGTACTTACTTTTCTCGAGCACTCTCAAACAAAATAACAAAATAACCCTGACTCACTATAATTTGTGTGATATACTCTGTTTATATTTTTTAAAATATTTTCTTAGCACTTTCCTTTTCAAGATTCAGGAAACGAATAAACGTATTTGTCCCACATTCGTATTTATAGAGTGACGAATTGAACAAGTCAGTGCAAGGTAGCGAAGCTCTGAGACTGCGACTCTCAGGTTTTTACAAGTTCAAAATGTATTGCGACCACAAAGCGAATACCAACATCTTACAACTTACACAATTTTATAAACATATATAATAAATTTTTTACTTCATAGGTACTTTTATAAATAATGTATATGTTTTGATATTATAAGATATAAGTATGATGTAAGTAAATAGGTATGTGTTGAGATCCACTATCGTGGACCCCCATATTCATTTCATGGACCCCCAAATTTTTTTTCGCTGACGTAGACCCCTTGCAGGTTGTCATAGACCCCTAGGGGTCGATATAGACCACTTTGGGAATCAATGATCTAGATAGAACGCAGCGCATAGAGCACACGAAGGGTACGGGAAACCCTCCTCTTTCGTACCGCCCGTGTCCCGAACGCGTAGATTTTTTTGGTTATTTTAGTTTTTTTTATTTGCACTTTTGGGCATATACAATCAAAAAACTGATATGTTCCTTTTTACAGATAATCCAGTAGCCGCAATGTTGTATACAAAGAAGTATATATGTTTATATGAGTACATGAATTTATTAATTTTTTATAAATATTTTCGATATCGGAAATAAAATACCCATATGTGCTGCTCAACAGTATGATATGGCAGCTATGTGTGCGAAGCCGAAGCGGGCTGCTAGTAGAAGATTAACCTAAATTTCTAGATCGCATCAATGTCAAATAGGCGGGGACTAATTGTATGAGCCTTTTGACTGACTTGTTCCATTTTATTTCCTTATGCATGTTCGTACTTGACTTTTTTCTAAGAGAAGTGTCAACGTCTGCCATAAAAAATGATATTTTATAAACTGCTGATAGCGTTGTGTAGGAAGCCACACTCAACCTAAATGGTAAAATACTAAATAATCCAAAGGTTATTGAGTTACATTGACTAATTTTTATCATTCAATCCAGGCATCTAAATAACCACTTTATTTCGCTCAGAGATTTTCGTTATAGGTAACACCGATATCAAAGAGGAAAAATTATTATATCTACAAATACTAAGATAGTTTTGGCTATTATTACCATAAAATCAAAAAAAGGTCTTTTAAAGAAGGAAGCGATGGTTATAAGATACACATGTTCCATAAAAGGCACATGCAAGATTACTCAAAAAAGGTGCTACGCGATCCACATAGTGCTCGTTTGACCGCCACATTTGAGAATGGCCACCAAATTGCATAAACTTTATCTATAGTATAATTATCTCGGTAATCAGTAATCCGATAATAATTTTTCATCGCGTATTTTAATCTTCTTTTATTAAGAAGCCTTTTTCTGACCACATAGTCTTTGTTAACCTTAAGAGTTATTAAGATATTCTCCTTAAAATGAAATATTTATCCAATCAAAAGCATTCTATGTATAAATGCATATACGAGTAAATGTATCAAAATTTTCAAATAGTATTTGCTATAAGGATTTTTGCATCGGTTCGGACAACTACTTCTAAACAGAAATCGAGGCACGTCAGCATCAATTTCTATCGGGTACATAGGTAAATCATAAGATCATCAAAGCCTATTGAGCATTGAGCTACCTGTTTCTTGTAGAATTGAGGTAATATCTTTCTCAATGTAACTAACGTTCATGGAGTTCAATTTGCCGGAGCGCTCCACAGCACGAATCCATTGTAAATTGACTCTCAATCTTAAAATATATTAACGTTACTATGTTAGTTATACTTGGATGCCCGGCAGATTCTCACAATTTGCATGTCCACTTATGGAGTCGACTACTCAATTTGAATCTTTTCGGTTACAATTACTGTACTCTTCTTGTTCCTTAAGACAAGAAAATAATAAATATTTATGGCATCAAAAAGTATGAACTATAACCAAGAATATGCTAGTAGCAAAATAGCCTGAAGTTGCCAGCGTTATTTACTCAACATGTTATCAGACGAGCAATGACTAGATATATTTTGTCATGCTATCATAACAAATGGGATATCTTGACATATTTTAACGGCATTATCAATGATAGGTCAGTGCCAAGTATTTTTTCTCTACTCTTCTATAACTTATTATTACATTGAAACCGTGGCCTAGTTAAACACAGTTTCCAAATCATTGTTTTCGAAAGCGTGGGTCGCGACCCTCTGGGGGCCGCAATGAGGTATTGGGATGTCGCCGGAAATTTCCAAGATACTGCTATTGTTAAATCTATACATACAGCGTGTTCAAAAAGTTTCCGACTCTCCATCTCAGAAAATACTGACCAGAGAAAAAAATGATCAAGGCAAATATTGTAGGATTTTACTTAAACGGCCTAATGGTGACCTTGATAATGACATTGACTTTGACCTTTGAGGCCATCCCAATATCAAATTGATTCTGTTGGATGGGGTTCTATACTTTTGAAACCGAAAGAAGGGAAATTCTAAGTTCGTACATACTCGTATTATTGGCCATAATTGTGATCTTGACTTTGAGGCCATATCAAGGTCAAAGCAGTTTTCTGTAATGGGACCTCATACTTTTGTCCCCGGAAATGCAAAGTAGGAAAAATCCCAAGTTTCGATATGATGTTGACCTTCAAAATCATTCAAGGAAGAATCGATTTCCCCAAATGGGAACCTATATCTTAGACCCTAGAAAAGAGCAGAAAATTTTAAGTTTGTCTATCACCTTGGTATTATAATTTTATAAGACCCCATACTTTCGACCTCGAACATATGGATATGTCCTTGACCAAGACCTTGACAGTAACCTTGAAAGTTATTTCGTTAGCCGAATAAAGCAATGATCTTTCCTTTACTGGCCACATCACTGATCGATCTGGTCATAGTCATGGTCAAGGATATATATACGTACAAACTTAGAAATTTCCCCTTTAGATTTCTAAGGTCAAAAGTATAGGGTCAGTCTTTTGAAGATGCCTCTCAAAATGTACCTCAACACACAGGATGTTCCACTCAAAAAGTGTAAGAAGTAGGTATATATTTGCCTATAATTTTTGTGAATAACATTTTTAGATATATGTATTATTTTATAAATGCAGCTGGTTCACAAAAGTAAATAGGAATTTAGTATAATAATTTTTCATCAATCGGCAAGGATTACTATTGCTACAAAATATAAAAGTAGAAATACACACAACGGATTCAGACTAGATAGAAATAACCAGTCAAAGATTTGTTTGTCTTCTAATTCTCATAGTCTGTAGTAAGAATCGAAGTGTGCTTGACATAAGTTAATTTTCTGACAGTTCTGCCATTAAATTGGTATATTTAGTATTATTTTTTAAAAGTGCACGTGTTTGCAGATAATTGTGGAGTTAGATGATCCCAAAACATGTTGCATAATTTGCAAAGACCGGCATAAGGATAATAAAAGCAGATGTTTACACCGGTAAATATTATTATCGTGTTGATACAACGTTGTCACTGTGGTAGGCATTGGTAGACAAATGAGTCAAGAGTTTGCACTAAAACTAGGCAAATTTGATGACAAACGATGCAATCTAAATATATATTTACTCCTTTGGTGCAAAATTTTCGAAAGACATTCGCGCTAATTTCATATTATCCATCGCAAGGCTTTCACATTTTGGGTCCAAATAAAATCACGAAAGTCGAATGTCTCCAGTTCTTGGTTAATAATCATTGAAGTATTTTTTCCAGATGATCTTACCCATTTTCTTGTGAAAACACACCCGCGGGTGATTTTCGTAACAACCTGCGTGTACGAGAGAGTGAGGGAGGATCTGCATCAACACCACCCTTATGTAGAAAAAGTGATAATTTTAGACTCAAGCGTGAGCGAACGGAATGTACTAAGCTTCAACACCGTTATACAGGGACATGAACAGACAGAATCCATTGAAATAGCTGAGGCTAATGATGATGATCCTGTTTCCGTTTTGTTCTCCTCTGGAACTACTGGACTTCCTAAAGCAGTTCCTTTTAGTCAGAAGGCTCTTAAGACTATAATCACTATAGCCAAGTAAGTTGTTTAATAATCTCATAATCTAAAGACGGAGGTACAGATATAAGTCAACGCCAAACAAAGTGGCGTGCACGTCATCACGATAAAAATTCCCCGACCTAATGCCTAGGTTTCTATCACAAACAATTGCTCTATTGCAGTTTCATATTAATGTGATATATAAATTGTAAAATGGTCATTACTCTCTTATTATGGTTAATAGTCATATAAACATTGTTATTAAATTATCACATAAGTTGCTTTCTGATAAATTTAGACGCATTATGCGAAATAAAATGTTTTGCAAACGCTCCAATCACTTATCGACATGTAAACGCACTAAACCGATTTCGCAGCGTTGACACATTGTCACCTTGAAACTTATTTAAACTGGGAACTGACATTTGTATTAATTTTGACACTGAATCAATTTGTGGCATTTCAAATCTTTATAAATCCTTTGGCCCCGCATACTGTAAATCAACAACTGTTTGTTTCAAAACAAAATTATTCATTTTACGAGTAGATAAAGGCAATTTTGGTATATAAAGATGCCCAAACAGTTAAATAGTCGGTGTAAGGAACTCGTGGCCTCGTTAATGCACTACTTTGAGCAAGAAAGGGACAACAACGGGCCTTTGTTGCCTTTAAATGCTGTTCAAGAGGTAGGTTACTAATAATTATATGTAATGTATATTAATAATAGTGAAATTTTATTTCATTTTTTGTAGCGTGTTGCTGCTGCTTTAAAAATTAGTTTAAGGACAGTTAGTCGTATTTCCGAGGGTGTGAAAAGTGATACAAATTTAGAATCCCCCAAGAAAAAGCGGAGTTATATTAAACGTGTAACCAACACAGCGACATTGGATACAAGTGCCATTCGAGAAGTGATCTATAATATGTATCACAAAAGTAAGATCTTATTATAATAACTTATCAGAAATTTGCATTAATTTGTTAACTAAATTATAATGTCATATTACACATGGTTTCAGAAGAACAAGTTACGATACAAACTTTATGGTCTCGATTAAGAGATAGGGCATTATTTGATGGTAGTGCCACGTCTTTAAGGCGGTTGCTTAGAGATCTTGGATTTAAGTGGCTTAAGGACAATCCGCGACGAGGGCTCATGGAACTACCAAGTATAGCTTTGAAAAGGGTGGAATTTCTAAGGCAATACAATCAAGCCAAGGTTGAGGCCTTATACCAGTTTGTCTTCCTCGATGAAACTTGGATATTTCAAAATGGGACCATAGGTTGCTCTTGGCAAAATGGAAATCAAAAAAGCGTGAAAGCTATTAAAACAGATGGTAAAAGGTATGTACTTTTACACAATTTGCACTATAAAATTTAAAACTAATATATTTTAGATACATTATATTACATGCTGGAAATGAAAATGGGTTTATTGAGGGTAGTGAAGCGATATTTTCTTCGAAAACAAAATTGAGCGATTACCATGGAGAGATGAACCAGGACAATTTTTTGGAATGGTTTCAACATCAGTTATTAGAAAAATTGGAGAGTCCATCTATGATTATACTGGATAACGCCCCTTATCACAGCATGATATTGAACAAAGTGCCCAACAATGCATGGACAAAAAAAATATCCAAGACTGGTTGACAAATCAAAACATACCATTTTTAAACACAATGTTTAAAACAGAGCTATTGAGTATTGTTGCTCGGTACATAATGCTTCTTAATTATATATATTTTGGTCGACAGTTTATATTTCTTTTGTTTATTCCTATTCTTAAAATAACTGCTTTTTTAGAAACAAACCACCTAAAATATACGTGATTGATGAATTGGCGGAACAACATGGGCACAAAGTTCTTCGTCTGCCTCCTTACCATTGTATATTTAACCCTATTGAGTTAATTTGGTGCATAGCAAAAGGTTACTATAACAGACATATTGGTAGAGATGGTAACAGTGAAAAAGACTGTTTGGATATGTGGAACGAGGCTCTACAAACGGTTACCCCAGACATGTGGAAAAATAGTGTTCGACATACTGAGCAAGAAATTTTTAAATGGTATGAAAGAGAACGAATTTTTGATCGACCAGACATCGAACCTTTAATAATCAACTTTGAGAGTGATGAAGATTCAGATTCAGACAGCGCCGACTAACTTTATTGTACAGAAAAAGTTTACACCAGTAGCTTACCTAATTTTAGAATGCATTTTTCTGTATGAATTCTGTAAAATAAATACCATGCATAAAATTTGGAGGACCCCATTTGGATTTTTATTCAGTACCTTTAAGCTATCAATTAAATATGGTAGTTTCATAGTGTCATCTGATCAATAATTGTCATACTTAATGATTATGCAAGTACAGATCTATAATTTTATTATACTATTATTTTTGTTCTCATTTGAGGTTAATATTGCTTATAAACCTAGATATGTAAATAATAAATTTTATTATTTTACAAAAAGTTTGGAAACAATGTAAATTTTTCAACACACCCACCTTGATGACGTGCACGCCACTTTGTTTGGCGTTGACTATACTAATCTTTATTTAATTTGATCCTGTCAATTAACCAATAGATAAAAGGTGCGAATTATCCATAAATCTAGAAATATATAGAGAATTAATGAAGTGAGTCCTTGGGTGATTATAAAAAGGGCAAAAGTTCATATGAGTATAAGCATAAGTTCCCCCACAACACGGGTATTACGTATCTTGGAAAGTAACATTATATCAATTTTTTGACATTATACTGTTCTTTTTTACATTATGTAGGTTTTTCGACAAGATGTTAACTTAGCGCTAGCTGATGGCCACTTTTGTAAAGTCGTTTTGTAGTTGTACGTGTTGCCTAAACGTCATGAGGCTTCAGTTACCAATGTTTGGCTATTATGTGATGTAAAATCTGCTTCAGAGATGGCATTACTGGAGGTAAGTGCATAGTGAGGATTTGTGTCCTAATAATATGTGTTGATGATAATTCCATTGGATTCTAGAATTGATAATTTTGAATATAACCTGTCTTCCGAAAAGATAACATATAAATGGATAAGAAAAACTAATGTCTAGCTTTGAATCTCAAGTATTTGAGACAAGAATCCAATGGAATTATCATCAACACATCATATTATTAGCACACAAATCCTCACTATGCACCTATGCATTGCCGTTACCTCGATTACTGCCATCACTGAAGCAGATTTTACATCACATTAGAGCCAAACATTGATAACTGAAGCCTCATGACGTTTAGGCAACACGTACAACTACAAAGCGAGTTCACAACGTGTCCATCAGCTAGTGCTAAGTTAACATCTTGTAGAAAAACCTACATAATGTCAAAAAAAAGTAGTGTAATGTCACTTTTTAAGATACGTAATACCCATGGGCGATTTTGTTAAAATATGTATGTTGAAATTAATAAAGTACAGACGTTTCACAGAAAATTTAAATGAAACTGAAAATGTCACGTCAGCACAGGTGTTGAAGTGAAATTGTACAAACGTTTTGACCACCTTGGGGGCCTTTTCCAAGGCATAATTCAAGACAACAATGGAAATTTATTTTATTCGTTTTCCAGCCGAAATTTCATTTGTTTTTGTTGATGAAATACCTGCTTCGGTCGGTCCTTTGCTAGGTTTCCGCTCTCATTCTAACGTTTCAATAATAGCCTCGACTTTATTATGTGTTATTGGAACTCAGTGAATACTAGCGGCAAAAACAAATGAACTGTCACTGTCACCTGGAAGACAGATGCGTAAAATATATTGTCATTTTGAATTGTACTTTTAAAGGCCACCACGGTGTCCGAAACGTTAGTAAATGTCACTGCAAAATCTGCGGTTTCATTTGATGGCCAGCAAAACATGGACATACAATTAAAGCTGCTAAAGCTTACTATTTTACAAATCAGAGTCGAATTTTATCTTATTAATTCTGCGCATTTGCCGTTTTCAAGAATGGTGAATGTGTATACTGTTTAAAACCTACTATCATGCACCATAGGAGTATAGGATTTAAGAACGATCGAATGCAGAAAACGTTAATGCCTCAAATTGTTTAAAAGGCACGACTCATTCGTACCTGCGGTGTTTTCAGCGGCTGACATACTTTTTTATTTTCAGCAGCCCTAATTACATCGCAATAACAGAAAGTACAACAACACTGGTAATACCACCTTTTTTCCATATATTCGGTCTGCTCTTCCTAGTAAGCTGCATAATTGGAAAAGGAAAAGTGATCATTATGGAAAAATTCAAACCAGATTTGTTCCTGCAGAGTATTGAAAAGTACAAAGTAACCCTACTACCTTTGGTCCCCTCCCTCATGGTATTCATGGTCAAGAGTCCTCTAGTAGACGAGTACGTTATTTCATCTGTGAAGGATGCATTTTGTGGAGGAGCACCTATAGGCGTAGACCTGGAGAAACAATTTTCCAACAAGTGGGTATTATTTTTACGTTTAACAAAAATGGATAAATATACTAAGTGACATATAAATCCGAACTCCCAGTTTAAATGGTTTTATTTTAATAAAAGTTGGTGAATGTATTTATCTTACTCTAAATAACAAGTGAAAAAATTTTCAGTCTTATCAGTTGGACATTCCGGTTTTTATACTGCTTTTTTTTAATTCACTTACGCTCTAAAAATGAATATTTCAGCCGCAGTAAAGAATCAACGTTGGAGGATTTTAGTTCTTGACATCCTTTACGATCGGTTACGATGCCTAGAGTACGGAGACCTGTACGATTTCGTCAACTTAGTGAGTTTTTTAGGGGCCGTATAGTGGGACTTCGGGAAGCTGGACTTTCTTTTCGAGCAATTGCAGTTAGAGTGCAAAGAAGTGTAGACACTGTGGTTAGGTGTTGTCAGGCATGGCTTCGAGAAGGCCGTACGCAAAGAGCAAGGGGCACTGGACGCCGCCGTAGAACAATAGACCGTGAAGATCGCCGCCTAAGATTATTGGCCTTAAGGGACCGTTTCTCCACTACCAGGTCCATTGCAAATGAATGGTTTGCAGAACACGGAAGACCTATTGGCATGCGAAGTGTTTACCGACGAATGAGAAGTTTTGGCTTGTTTTCATACCGGCCACACTGGGTCCTCCCTTTAACTCGAGAACACCGACGTAATCGCCTTGAGTGGTGGAGACAACGGTCACTCTGGGATCAGGAATGGAACAGTATTGTCTTTAGTGACGAGTCTCGATTTTGTTTAGGCATGCACGATGGTCGTGCCAGGGTTAGAAGGCGACGTGCTGAAAGGAGGAATCCACAGTTTTTTGTTGAAAGACATGTTCATCACACTGTTGGAGTTATGGTTTGGGGTGCTATAGCTTATGGTTCCAGGTCACCTTTAATCTTCATCAGAGGTAACATGAACGCGCAGCGTTATATCCACGAAGTTCTAGAACCCCATCTTTTACCCTATCTTGACACCCTGGCAGATCCAACTTTCCAACAAGATAATGCCCGACCACATGTTGCAAGATTCACAATAGACTTCTTTCAACATAATGATGTCACATTGTTACCATGGCCACCAAGATCTCCCGACTTATCCCCAATTGAGCACGTGTGGGATATGATGGGTAGGAGATTGCTCAATTTGCAACGTCCTCCTCAGACTCTAGAAGCACTTCGAGAGGTGTTGGAGGTTGCCTGGAATGAGATACCACAGGAGGACATTGACCACCGGATCAGAAGCATGCCTAGGCGCGTTGGAGAATGCGTAGCACATCAGGGTGCAGCCACACATTATTAAAGGTCAAAGGGCTTTAAAGCAGTGCAATCATTTTGAAATTTTTATCATTTACTTATTATGCTTCATTAAGTACTTATACAAAATTTTATTAAAATAAAACCATTTAAACTGGGTGTTCGGATTTATATGTCACTTAGTATATATTGAAAATTATATCCAGACCCGGATCTAAGAAGGGACAGACGGGGCACTTGCCTAGCGCAGCAGTTTCATGGGGGCGCCAAATCCTTCAACGAAAAGGAGAATAGTTCGAAATATCGAACAATTATTGCAATCTAATTGGTTTTCATTAAGTAATCGAATCATAATATAATATATTTGAAAGATATACTATTGTATTTCCATTCGCCATTTAGTTTTTGAAAACAACAAAAGTCTATTTATGAACGCATCTTAGCAAATGCTAAGTAGATTTTTAAACGCTGATCTTTCTGCTAGGGGAATCCCCGTCGTATCAACTATAAAGTTTGTTTTTATAGTTTAGTAGTATATTAAATATAACAAGATTCAATCAAAATTCAATGTGCATTCGACAAACATCAAGAACCCATTAGTCAACGATCTCTTTTTTTCCTGCGTCCAAAATTCTATAACTTCATACCAGAGTCATTAATAGAAATTAAACCAGCTAGATTTGACCACGACCAGGATGCTCCATCCACAAAATTGTAGATAATAATAATAATAATAATTTTTTCATATTAATTACAAATTGTGAACAAATGCATATGCCACAAAAGGAAAATATCCTTGTATGTATAAATATCATGCTAAAACAACATGAATAATAACATAGCAGTTATAATAAACTGATACCACTAAAAAAAATCTATATAATATAAAAGTAATATGTTAATTCATTTTGGATCGTAGACTAGCAATGAAGAAAAGATAGGTGTTAGTTTTTTATAAATTACATCATGTTTATATCAGTTTTCAAAAGACATTTGTATAAATCTATTTTTACTAATGATATTCGTTTTTTTATAATATATTTTGGTAAGTTATGATATAATTTTGGACGATAGAAGATTTCAACATTATTTTTTTGTGTTGCAATAATCATTTGTTTATTTCTATTTCTAGTATCATATTCATAATTTTTATAAATGGTCGAATGCCCGTTTTTATGGAATTCTAGTATAACATTATACAAAAATAATTCTTTTATATCTAAAACTTTTAATTCCATAAACAGCGATTTGAAGAGATATAGTAAAGGTTGGTCATGAATTGTTTTTATGAATAGTTTTTGTATTAATTGTCGAGAATTTAGATGGTTATTATTCGCGGATCCCCAGATAATAATGATTGTGTGACATTCAACTAATGCTTGATATAAAATGTTTAATTGAGTTTCATTGAAAATTTGTCCGTAATATCTGAATTCATATAATAGAAATCTAAGTTTCTTTTTAATGTATTTCATATGTTCATCCTAACGAAGATGACAGTCCAAGACAATTCCGAGATATTCATGGTTTAGTTTACGTGATATATATTCATTTTGGAGATTTTTTTCTTCCTATTTAGCTGATCATATAGCGGTAATTTATTTATGTAAGAAGTGAAGGGAATAAAGTAGTTTTTTTTATAATTAATATTTAATAATTGATTATCGAACCCATCGATCGAACCAGTCTGTACTAAATCTCAATTTCTTCTTTTGATGTTGTCCAACTTCTGGCTTAATGGATGATGGTGGTGTCATCTGCAAATCCTATTTTTTCACTTTTTGTTGATAGATTATATAAGTCGTTGATATATACAAGGTGGCGCATCGAAAACGAAACAGACGCATTTACTGGCAGCTCAGTTTTTTTTTAAAACGCTCAGACCCGTTGATTTTGTTTTCGAGGGGGACACAAGTTTGGCGGGGGTGACACCATCACCAAAATCTTAAATGGAAAGGGGGGTCGAGTGATACTTTATTTTAAAGGTCTTTCAATTCCCTTTATAATGATATAAAATTAATGTACTTCAGTTCAGTAGTTTTGAAGATTTATTGATTTAAAGCTTAAATAAAACTAATACATCATCATTAGTGGAGATCAATACATTTGGCAGCAAAGTAATTTGAAAATGAAGAATGAACCGACCCGCAAGGCAAGTAAATGTTGAAAATGGCCACCATGACTCTCCATGCAATAATAAAGATTTTGCTCAAAAAGTTGCCGCACATTTTGCAATATTTGAAGAGTAAATTGAAGGCACTCATTCACAATTCTTTGTCGCAGGTCTTCTAATGATGTTGACTGAATAGCATAGATTTTGCTTTTTAAATGACCCCACATAAAGAAATCCAAAGGTTATAAATCTGGCGATCTTGGGGGCCATTCAATGGCACCTCTTCTACCAATCCATCGATCTGGAAACGTCTGATCTAAATATTGTTGAACACGTAATGCGTAATGTGGTGGGGCACCACCCTGTTGGAACATCAACCTATTCGCAATGTAGCGCCGATCATTCTGATTTTCAATTATTGCTGTTAATGCAGGATCTATGGCGACTTTCAGTAATTCCAAAATTCCAAATACATTTCACCGGTCAAATTTCCAGGTAAGAAAAAAGGACCAACTAAATGATCGCCAAAAATAGCAGCCCAAACATTTAATTTTTGTGGCGGCTGTGTATGAACCTCATGATAAATTTTGGGATTAGAATCGGACCAATATCGGCAGTTATGACGATTTACTACGCCATTTAAGAAAAAGGAACATTCGTCGGAAAAGCAAGTGTTGAATAGAAAATCTTCATCGTTTATAATTCGTTCACTCATATCTTCACAAAATTGTAATCGCCGATCAAAATCGTCTTCATTAAGTTCTTGTACCAGGTGAATTTTATACGGATGAAAACTATGGGCCTTCAGAATCCGTTGGACAGTACGTCGACTGACACCACACACAGTCTCCAATTTGCGGATACTTAACGTAGGATCTACATAAACTTGCCCTAAAACCCCCACTTCTATTGCTTCCTTCCTTATGGGATTTTCAATGTTGCGTTTTTTATTGGCGACTGACCCAGTTTCCCGAAATTTAGCTACAAGTTCTAGAACATATTTTCGATGCACGTTACTGTTCTCATGTCGCTCATTAAATATTTCTGCTGTTCTATTAGCGTACTTATTATTTCCGAAAAATATTTCGATAATTTCAACTCTTTCTGCTGTGGAATATACCATGGTTAATTTATGTAATAAAGCGTTACAAGTTATTTTAGCAACAAAGTTTGGTCAAATCAATCGCAAACTATGTACTAAATTCCTATTTAAAATAAGTACGAGATATTTCCTTATCTTTCTTCAAGAAATAACTTTTTTGCCACAAAAAACGCCCCAATAGCTATTTTCAACAACAAAATGATAAACAAACAATGGGCGTAGTGAAGAAAAGCATTTACTTATTAAGTAAATTCTTTTAGTCAAATTTCTTCTGAAAGTAGTACAAACTAATCTGATGTACCTATTAAAGTCTACTTTAAGTTTTAAATCAATAAATCTTCAAAACTACTGAACTGAAGCTCATGTATTTTACATCATTATAAAGGGAATTGAAAGACTTTTAAAATAAGGTATCACTCGACCGCGCTTTCCATTTAAGATTTTAGGGTTGGTGTCACCCCCGTCCAGGGGGCTGCACGTGAAAACGTGATTTTTTGCCAAACTTGTG